ACTGTATAGTGTGTCTTATTAATTAACTATTTTACTTGAATGAACTGCTAGTATCAAAATCATTTTGGTCAGACTGTACAGGGTTGCTACATGCATACTAGTGGCGCCATCATTTAATGTCACGACTTTATAGACAGACTGTGCATGGGATGAGACGTCATAGAATAAATACGGAACAAACCTATACCGAGGGTAGATGGTTAGTGCTCTGACAACGAAACTGTCTTAACGATACATAAGCAGTTTTGACCAGCAGTTACGAAAGGGACTTGGAAAAGGAACCGATTGTTGTAGACAATGAAGCACAAGATGACAAGAGTGTTGAATCAGTAGGACTTTTTGATCAACTAGCGGACATTTAAGTGCTGTCCACGAGTCCCTTTGCCTTTCACTCCTATCCTATAGTTGACACACTTTGAAGTTGATCCTTTTTTTATTATGACAGAATAATTGATTTAGCTCATTCGCCGGGTCATTCACCGGTATGCCAGTATCACAGATCTCATGTATTGCGCTTGCTCCTGAAGCTGTTCCCATGGCTTTTATAATTTCAACTTTTAATTATTGATCAGGGCCAGGTGATATCTTGTCTTTATGCGCAGCAATAGCAGCTGTGACTTCAGATATTAATATTCGGAGGTTCTTAATTTACTTTGTCGCGTGAAATTAGTCTACATTTTATGCAATGGAGGATAATTATGGGGGGTTTTGTATAATTCCTCATAATATTTTAGCCATATTTTCATTTTGATATTGCGTCCAAATCATGAAGTATGGTACGAAACTCGTAGTTCATTTCCCAGGTTTTAGATGTGATTTGTTTTGACTTCACTTTCTTAAAAAGATCCTAGGTTTGCGTTTTCAATACGTTTGCGTCTTCGATTGCCCGACACGACGATATGAACGCTGTGCTATACTGCTTATCTCTGAGTATTTATCACAATCTTGTTAGTCAGTCCTGTAACTTGTGCCATACTTTACGAATTATTTTCTTGATCGCTGGCCTAGCCGCTATCTGCCAAATCCGTGATGACCGAAAAGGACCTTCGTTCCAAAAAAATATAACACTACTGTGTAATAAATAAATCGGTTATGGTAACTTTAAATCTATAATAGTGTATCCAATTCAAATCATATAGGTATATTTTTTAGACAATGTTTTTTTGCCCTATCTATACTTGTTTAACACCCATATTCTTAGTCGCGTCCTCAAACGTTCCTCGACTCTAACTCATTCGAGGGCTCCTTAAGGAGTTCTTCCAAATAACCTCGAAAATGATATTCTAGTTGATATCTTTAACAAACTTGAGAATTCCTCCACTGAAAGTACAAACAAAGGTATAAAGCATAGACATATTATATGTGTAACGTAAAATATCACACAACAAACATAGGTAAATTACTACTTGAAATAATCCTGTCACGTAAAACTTCAAAGCCACCAGTAATTGTATTAAAGGCGGTACAAGTAGTCCTCTGTTATTACAATTTAGTGTAAAGCTTAGTAGAGGAAATATTACTTGTATGACTGTATCTCTCTAAACCGAAATCTTCTTTGAAACGAATCATTGTCGTAAACCTCAAAGGGATTTGCAGCGTCACGTAAATACCGTCGCGCCGGATGATATGGTTCATCATCGTATACGTAAAAAATAAAATCCACCAACTCGTCAATAATCTCATAATCAGACATAATTCTCCATAAAACAACTTGAAAAAACCTTAAACACCACTCGAGGAAGCCTCAAGGTACGTCGAAAGCTACCTTGAGTTTGACAGTTTATTCCTCGACTCGACCTCCACTCAAATGAGGAATATCTCAAGTGAAGGATATTTTTGTTGTCTAAGCATACGAATTTCCTCGAATGAGATTGAGTCGAGTGGAAAAAATCTCGAGGAAACGACTAAGAATATGGGTGTAAGTTTACGTAGAGATTTTTTCGAGAGAAGGAGAGAAATTTTTATTTCACGTAGCACCCCCTGAACAGTGAAAGCCACGCCCATCACATAATTTTTCTAGCCCAAGTAATGCCCCTAACGTAAGTTGTGTAAAATAAGTAGGTACCCAGTATCTAGGCACATTCTCTCTACTTTTACTATGTACTAGCCTAGCTACTACATAATAATATTATAAATGCGAAAATTCATATGTATGTTTGATATATCACGCTTGTTACGACACAGCACTAGGTGAATCTAGGTAGCTTGCAAAAAGCGCCTACTGACATGCCTGCCGCAGGGACAATCTAGGGTGCACGGCGGTCGGCCCAATATAGGCTTGTCTCTACACACATGCACATGCCTGCTATATTCAGTGTTCGGGTGTATGTTAAGCACACGCGTTGATGATGGTCCCAGTGTTATCAAAAAATATGTTACCGTAAAAAAGGAAATACTGGGTGAAGAATTGGCAACAGAAAGAAATGCATTGTAAATAAGTAATGTTTATGATTAGAAAAAAATCCATGCTGACCTGGCAGCAGACGAAACTCGAACCCGCACCTTTCGCTATCCGGGCGAATGCACTGATCAATTATGCTACCGCGGCCCTAACGGCCGTATCAAATTCTGTCTAGCATTTCTTAAGCTGCAAGGCAGCGCCATCTCTTCGCATTATATGTAACCCACAATGTCCAATGAATACCTTTACAAGTATTTGACATTTAAAAGAAAAAATAGCAATTAAAGTCATTATTTTAATTTTTAAGCATGTAACTGCTCATGTTTAAATCTAAAGAAAATATTACAAGAAAATATTAATAAAAAAACTATTTCTATTTTTCTAGTAATATTTTCTTTAGATTTAAACATCGAGCAGTCACATACTTAAAAAATGAAAATTAATTAAAAATATATAAAAAAAATGTTTGTTTTTTTTATCCCACATGTGGGGCCGGTCTTTATATACTTCGATAACTCGTGTCCAAACTTCATGCTCATTATGATCTGCCGCCATCTTGATCGAAATCGTGCGCTGCGTGTGACAGCTACTAAGCGACTGATTGAGAAATTGGCCCAATCGCGCTACACACGCGGCAACGTGCAGGGCGGTTGGGACAATCTAGTGAGCAAGGGAGATCGCGCGCTCCTGCCTCCCTGCCGCAGGCCCGATTTAGAAAATTGTCCCAACTTGCCTACACACATCACAATTCAGGAGGCAATTAAGGGTCATCCCCGCTCTTAGGGTACGTACCCTACGGCCAGTGTGCACTCAGATTCAGATTCTGAAAACAAGCGCGAGAAATATACAGTGTAGTCTAAGCAGGTTGCCTGCTTTTTCTCGCGCTTTGTTTTCTGAGTCTGAATCTGAATCTGAATCAGGAGTGCACTCTGGCCGTACCCTTCGACTACACTGTTTATTTCTCGCGCTTGTTTTCGGAATCTGAATCTGAATCTGAATCTGAGTGCACTCTGGCCGCACCCTTACACCCTAGATTGTCTTTGCGGCAGGCATGTCAGTAGCGCGTTTAACTTTGCATTGTCTGTTCAGGTTTCGGCACTTGGAAACTAGATATACGCAGAAAAACTTGTGTTTAAAATACTTTTTATTGGCTTCCGAGCAGAAAACATCTGAATTGCTTTAACCAAATTGTCTTTCATTTGGGCACCCATTTTATTGTAACGCCAAAACGGCTGAACGGATTTGGGTGAAATTTCATAGTTTATCATTTATATTGTCGCATAAGATACTTTTTATTGTTTAATGTTTTAAGTAGAACTTTAAAAACTAATATTATATAAGGTTGCAATTTAGGCTTTGTGATGAATGAACTTAATACGTTTCCTTTCCATACATTACATAACTATGCTTTCTAACCAATCAAATGTGAAATTCGCACAATTAAATTTCAGTATGCACAATGCATTTACTCAAATCCTTATATGAAGGAACACAACGTCGACGGAAGAAGTGAAACGTTTTCTTACTACAAACGATCCAATAACTCCCTGTTATAAAACCACATTAATAGCTTACGTAACAATCCCTTTTTGTGTCTCGATGCCATATTACAATTTATAATTGCCAGACCAGTACTTTAGTGAGGATCGGATCGTACCGGAAGAAAATTATCACGCCACGCGACCTTAGCGCCCTAAACAAGTAATTTTGCCGCCCCTTTGGTACATGAGCCGTAACTGCACGAACGGATTCTTTTTCAAAAATCAATATTGTGTCTCCTCTAGAACAATTTGCTGCTTCAATTAATGTTTTTGTCTGACAAAAACACAAATTGAAGCGAGACGCCTGCCGCTCTAATATGCCAATGGCGATTTCTCTTTATCAATAATAGGGGAGCCCAAACCGGGATTTTGGAATATACCTACTTGAGTGGGGCAGAAAGATGGGCATCCGTGCACTTTGTGAAGTATTACCACCATACCTGAGCCCCTTACCTATGTAAGGGTCGAGACCAGCATTGCCAGTTTTTTTTTTTTTGCCAAGTCGGGATTTAGGAACTTTTCGAGTGAAAAAAGCGGGATTCTTTCGTCAAAAGCGGGACATATTAAAAAAACATATATAATCAAAACTTATTGAATATTTATCTTCATTACGCGCCGGGCAGGTGGCCAATCCACACTTGTCTGTGCCAACCGCGTTTTCTCAGTACGCTGCACGCACGGTCGAGTTATTCCCGAAAAGCGGGATTGAGCCTGTCCCGTGCGGGACATTAAATTTAGATTTAAAAATCGGGACGTCCCGCCAAAATCCGGACGTCTGGCAACGCTGGTCGAGAATATCTAGGGAAGCAAAAAAAATCAACGGCCATGAATTTTGCTTGTGTTCAAATCGCCATTTTGAATAGGAGGAACTGGAGGGTTGGGGAGGAGGATAAATTCCGTTTATACAAAAAACTTTTTGTATCTTGTATTTGAAATACTTTTTTTGGTAGTATTTTGTATCTTGTATTTAGATACAGTTTTTCAGTATTTTAGTATTTTGAAGATACTTTTTTTGCTAAGATACTTTTTAATTTCGTATAAAATTATTTGTTTCTTAGGTTTTCACGCACATCACTCATTATATAAAACTAGTTTTTACGGGTTAATGCACGAAACTTTATTTATTTATTGACATTTCGTAGCCTTTACAGGCTACGTCGTCAGAATTAAACTTTTATTTAATTTGTCGAGCTACCTTCGAAAGACTTTTATTGAGCGTTCGGTTATTTCATCGTTCGATTTTTAAAGTTTTATTGTCTATGTATGAATTTATTATTAAATTTACTTAATAAAGTATTTTATTTAAATTCTTTTTTGTAATTTTGTGTTTATTTATTTGACCCTAACTACCGTAAACTACCACCGGTTCCAAAATTGGGAAACCTTTCTGAGAAGAACCGGCGAAACAAACTCAAAAGAGGCTTTCTATGTCCTTCTTATGTTGAATTATGCAAACAAAAAGAACTAATAGTATCTGATGGTCTTGCAGTGTGTGCTCGGGGTTGGGATTTTATCTCCTGTATAATAGGTTCCCAAGCTGGTGGCATATACCAACCATCTTCCCTATTGAAATTTGGATATTTTTTTAATCTCAATAGCCTCGCGCATCATTCGAGGAACGAACCGCCGCTCAGCTGTAAGGATCTGTGGTTTATCAAATCTAATGTAATGGTTTGGTCCCCCTAATGCATGTTCACACACTGCAGACTTATTTTCGCGCCTATGTTTCATATCTGCGATATGTTCTTTTACCCGAGTCCCTATACTCCTCTTTGTTTGCCCGATGTAGGAGAGCCCACAGTCGTATTCAAGTTTGTAGACACCAGCAACTTGAAAGGGTATATTGCACTTGACCGGTCGTAGGAACTGGTTGATCTTCTTTGGCGGCTTGAAGTATGTATTGATTGAAGCTCGCTTCAGAATCCTCCCAACCTTGTCAGTGACTCCTTTCATGAAAGGTAGTATAGCAGGTTGTCGGTCGACTGTGCTAGGTTTGGCGCGACTGTGACGGCGACGTGGTACATTCAGGTTATTATCCTTCAGTACTTGCTCGACATGCTGAAGTTCAGCTGCCAGGTGTTGTTTGTCACAGACACCCCGTGCTGTCTGAAACAAAGAGTTTCCTAGGGCAGTTAATTGTTTCGGGTGATGGTGTGAGTCACCATTAAGGTACCTATCAGTATGAGTCACTTTACGATACACAGTGTGGCTTAAACTTTGGTCAGGATTCCTGATTAATAAAATATCTAGAAAAGCTAGTTTACTATCTGCCTCTAACTCCATAGTGAAAAGGATGTTGGGGTGTATAGAATTAAGGTGATTTAAAAAGGCAGAAATTTGATCTGTTGGGAGGATTGTGAAAGTATCATCTACGTACCGCTTATATAGCCTGGGTGTGACAGGTGCTACGCTGAGAGCCCTCTTCTCGAAGTCTTCCATGAAAATATCGGCGACAACAGGTGAGACAGGGGAACCCATTGCAACGCCCTCCATTTGTACATAGAAGTCATCCCCCCATAACAGGTAGCCTTATGTAAGGCAATGCTCCAGTAATACTGCATATTCTATAGGCATATTATTTTCAAGTAGCTTCTTCTTAGTGATTTCGATGCAGTCCTGTACTGGTAGGCATGTAAATAAGGACTGAACATCAAAACTGACCAGGATTTCATTGTCCATGAGACGTTGATCTCTAATCTCATTGACAAATTGGTATGAATCTTTCACAAAGGCTGTTGTGTTACCTCTCAGTGGTGAATGTAACTTTGCTACGTGTTTAGCCAAAAACAATAAATAAAGTTTCGTAAATAAACAATAAATATGATTGCAAAAAAGTTGGACTATTTTATCCTCTGGCATGTACGAATAGTCAAAGCCAGTTGTGTTCTAATGTTGAATCACAGACAGTAGAAGATTCGTTTGCTATCAACGAAGAGACATGCGATACATCGCTACTGACACAATTTACTTACACCCAGGCTGAAGAATAAGAAGATTAAAAAGAAGAACAACAAGAAGAAGTAATTGAAGATTATGAATCAGACGAAAAATATCTTTTATTATGCAATAGTTTCCAATTAAACAGAATCACAATAGACATGTGGAATAGGCCCATTGGGGAAACTACTTAAAAAAAGCGCTAAGTACACCACCTCAGAGGTGGCGTGGTGCATATTATGACGCTTACAATTTATTGAATCGTTACGTTACGACGAAAGAAAAAGAAGTATTTACTCGTTGCCTTGAATATGTTGCAGCGGCGTGCTGCCCGCATCATTAGCGATGAAAAGATAACTTACAAACTCGAGACGCCGCGATGTAGTATCATTAGCGCATTCTATCGACTATACCACGGCGAGTGTTCTGAGGAGTTGTCTTCCCTTATCTCTCCATCTCCTATTCTTCGGAGGTCGAGGCGCGTGTTACATTGTCACCGAATTACTGTGGCCACTATTCCTACACGAACAAAGTTTGGCGACCACATTTCTTTTATTCGCAAGTGGAATTCTTTGCCTGCGCACGTGGTTCCCCCTTCCTACAATCTGGGATAATGTAAGAGAGGCGTGAAGATGCATTTCTGTAGGCCGGCAAGGTGAGGATGATTCGTGTGGCGGTTTATAACTGCTATAACAGCTATCTTCGCATCTTGACTCTATCACCATATCAATTTTTATTAGGTCAGAAATTTTCTAATACCTAACTTGACTCTCAAACTAAGAAATATATTGTTACCGTTATAATTTTCCTTCAAAGTTCATGGAAAGCACGATCATCATGATTTTTTCCAGGTTTTACAAGCCAATAGTTTAGTTTTTAGAGAGGAGGGGAGGGGGGCTACACGAGCAAAATTTGCACTTTAAAATTTAAACAATATTTTGCAAACGGATCCCTACATCGAAAAATAGTCTTAGGATCCAAAATCATCTCCAGGGTACATGTAGGGGAGCTACCGCCAAAAAAAAATTTTTCGAAATTTTATTCTACCATTTTGACTCCACAAAATTACAGCTCTAGTGCTAACAGACCTCAAGAAAAACCGGGGACGGGTACACAGACAGACGGACATGACGAAACTATGAGGGTTTCTTGTCAGGACTACGGAACCCTATAAGCACCTTTGAATGTCTAGATTGGCCGGACTATAAAAAAATATCTTTTATTAACTCTCAGGTGTAGTATAAAGCACTATACATCCCTCGAAAGAAAGTATTATTCCCAACTCAGGTGTATTTAGTACACCCTTGTTGGTAATAGGCCACTTTCTCCTCTCGGTGAACAATGTATTATTATTTGCTTAGAAGGAATATGTGCATTACGTCGCGGAGATAAGGGCGAATTTGCTGTTACTGTTTCTGAAATTCGCTTCGTTATGCTTCGACTCTGCACTAGCGCCGCGCCGGAGGGGCGCTAGTGAGCAACTATCAGTACCTATGCTCAGTATTGCCCACCATCCACCACCTAGATGATCATTCTCTGATTAACGGTCGTCAATGCCGATGATTTTCTAGCATAGGTGACCGACTCACATCTAGAGTTAAGCTAGCCAGTCTTCTCTGGTCACATTCTCATTTCTGTACCTAGATGGCTTACTGCCTACGTGAGCATAGAATTCACATCTTTACAGAAGGATATAATTTGCCGATTATATCAGTGAATGCATCAGTGGTCACGTCCTATCTTATCCTAACATAGCGAAAATGGAGGAGCAGCTTAGTTTACTGGTTGGTATTAGGCGGAACCGCAGCATCAGTTTAGGTTAAGCATTCGCGATGTTCTAGGATGCCTTCAATCCTTACGTCCATAATACAATACTCTGTACTTTCTTTCATATTTTTATAATTGGGATGTTCAAGGTTTATATTACTTTGTGAGATATGAAAATGAAACAAATTATAATAATGATTCATATTTAATCTATTTGATAAATGTGTCATAAATACATCTAAGGTATCCTCTTCTTTGGAGAAGTCATCTCTATTTTTCCTGGTATATTCATCAACTAGTTTCATGTGTTGTTCCAAATTGTCTACTTCATTACTTTCAGAATCAAAATATTTGTCTTCTTCATCTTGAGAAAGTTGTTGTAAATCATCATATTGTTCATCATTGTCAATAGCTTCATAATCAACATCATCTCTTCCTTCAATAAAACTACTATACATTTCCTGGAGAAATTCTTCTCTCAATAATCTACGCTCAGGAGCACTAATAGGGCATTGTTTTCTGATATCTGGTTTGTAGCTCGGTCTTGTATCTACTTTATCAAAATCTCCCCATTGCTTCTTCTTTAAACCATCTTCTGAAAACTCACCCCAATGCTTGTCACCTTTTAAATTGTCCTCAGTTTCAGCAAGACTTTTAACCTCATCCTTATATATTGGATCCATTTTTTCTTCTAGCAATTGCTCATTTTTTGTTTCTCTCATTTGGTTTCGATCAACCGTTTCTAATATTAAAGTAATAAATGTCAAGTTTTCTCTATCAACTCCGTCTCGTTCCCTTATTTCTTCATCTGTTAGATATTGGCCGACTAATTGGTCATAGAGCAGAGGATTCCTTAACATCATTTGCTTGTCAGTAAAATAGTCACTTTCAATTTGAAGCTTCTTTAACGCATTATATCTTCTGTTTCTTATTCTTTTATGTTTGCATTCTTTAGAATGGTAATTTTTTAATTGTTTCAAGCATATAAAATAATCATCTTGTAAATGGTTTTCAGGTTTTATACTATCAAAATATTCTAAATGGCATTGTGTCAAGTACTTCCCAAATTGCCTAAGAAAATCTGGGGGTGATTTTTTAAATACTTCATAGGCCATTTTTATCTTATCCGTAGTCTTCACCTCACTTTCATCCTTATGTGCGTTTTTAAACGAGATATTTGCACATCTGACCAAATAATCAATTATATCATATAATGGATCAATTTCTGGTTCATTTTCGTTCTCAATGTTGTGTGAAACATCATGAAACTCCATCTCCAAATTCACAAAATAAAATATTAATTATTTTGGCTTCACAAAATACAAAGGACGAGGTACCAAAATTAATGAACTGATTGAATATTTATTATTTGTTAACCTTAGTCCAAACCTAGTTAATCATAAATAAAAAGGAAAACCAAAGGAAAAATTTGTAAAGCACAAGATACATGGAAAATGGAAATTTATAGCTAAATAAAAATGTTGTGGATTTTTTTTATTTATTAATGGCTCGCACGGTTTGTGCATAGGCCACGACAGAGTGAAAGGTAAGGAAACCAAAATATTGAAATAAAAAGGTTGTGAAACGGAATTTGGGAGGATTAGGATCGGTAAATTAATTTGAAACGTAAGGAATAGGTCTTTATTATATTATATAAGTATATAAAATACTTATATAATATAATAATTAATTAATTAATTAATATATATATATATATATATATTATTAATTACTTATAATTTTATAATAAATTTAGTTAGGAATTCAAATAGCTTTATATAAATTATAATATTTTTAATGGAATTGGTTTATGGTTTATTGGAAATAATTGTTGAATTAATTTATAATGTTTCGTACCTTTGATACGACTACTAGTACCCCAATTTTCTTCCCAAGATATGCGTAGATGTACTTTAGGAAGTAAAAGATCATTTACTAAATTTTTATAGGGAAAGGCGTCACCACAATTCACTGAATCTTTAGTGAGTTTATCACTACTTCATTGCCAGTGATATTATGATGGCCAGGTATCCACGCAAAGAGCACATTTAATTCTTCAAAGTACATTTCAGCATCAATTTCTTACAATCGATCTCATTAGAGAAAATTACGCACGCATTAGAGGAAAAAGCTTTAAAATGATTTTTTTCTATTGCATGTAAAGTGCTTTTGGAATCGGAGAAAATAATTATCTTTTTGAGTTGTGCAAGCAAAATGTATTCTAACGATTGATGGATTCCATAACATTCTCCTGTATATACTGTGGTTTCTGGGGGTAATTTAATTTTGTGTGATATTTTATACGGTAGTAAACCGATTCCAACTTTCCCAGTAGATGGATGTTTAAATGCATCACAGTAAATGTTATGCCGGTCTGGCCATTCTATATCAACAATAGTCATTAGATTAATATTAGCATTTTTATCATTACGTATAGAGTCTAGATAAATTACTTTGAGTGAAATAGTAAGAGCTTCATAATTAGTAGAAAATATGGGAAGATATTGTGAACGGTGGGTGGGTGCTAGCAGAGAAGTAAATTTAATGTAGCTGAATACCAAGCAAGGAAGCGACTTGTTATTCCAATATGCCGAATGATTAATTTTACGCAATAAATAGTGTAACTTGTTAAATAGAGGATGGTCAGAAAGTTAAAGAGCTCTAAATAGAAATTTGTCACATAAAAATTGTCTCCTTGGTTTAAAAGGAGGATCCACACATTCAACCTGGAGTGCATTAATAGGACTTGACTTCATGGCGCCAGTTACAATGCGAAGAGCTTTAGACTTGATGCTATCTAACTTACTTAGTGCTAATGCACTACTGGGCTCCAGAAAGCAAGTTACATAATCAAGGATACTTTTGATAATAGCATTATATATTAATCTTAGTGTTGATGGATGAGCTCACCACCAAACACCAGATAGGCATCTTAAAATGTTTAATATTTTTTCACATCGAGCTCATACATAATAGCAATGTGATAAACCAGTTAATTTGGAATTTACAATGATTCCTACAAATTTAGCTTCATTACACACTGGAATTATGTCATTACCATAATGTACAAAAAATGATGGGGGTGATCGTATTCTTGTAAAAAAGACGGCACAACTTTTAGAAACAGAAAGACTCAGGGAGTTAATGGTCTTTACGTAATGATAAAAATGCTAATATGAATCTAATGACTATTGTTAATATAGAATGGCCAGACTGGCATAACATTTACTGTGACGCATTTATTAAACATCCATCTACTGGGATAGTTGGAATCGGTGTTTACTACCAACAGTATAAAATAACACAAAAAATTTAATTACCCCCAGCAGCCTCAGTATACACAGGAGAATGTTATGGAATCCTTAAATCGTTAGAATACATTTTGCTTGCACAACTCAAAAAGACAATTATTTTCTCCGATTCCAAAAGCACTTTACTGGCAATAGAAAAAATCCTTTTAAAGCTTTTATGGAGGCCATACACATTAGGTTTTGCATGATGGTTTTAGCCGAACATGCATAACCGACAGGCAAGCCCTTACGTGTATGTGATAAATCTGTATAGTTTTCGGTGCATGTAACTCGGTTATGCATGTCGGTTATGAATGCACGGTTAAAACCATCATGCAGAACCTAACGTGTATGGCCTCCATTACCCTGATTTCAATATTTTACAGCTACAGATTGTTTAAAATTGCCGCTCTTTTGGAGGGTCACGATTCATAAGTTGACGCGAGTAGCACAATTCTTTCTTCTCGGCGAAAATATGCAGTATGTCGTACACAGAAGACACGCACGAATTTCAGTCACAGGTTTTTAAAATTTTTAGGTCCCTATTTATACAATCAAATTAATAAACTGTTGAATATTTACCCATTAACCAGGTTAGTATGTAAAGAAGTTATCTATAAGTGGCTTCAAGCAATGTCTTATGAAGAAACCGAAAATTTTATAAATATACTAACCTGAATAATTCAAACTGATACATACACGTATGCTACAAATACTAAATACATCTGCACTCAAACACACACACACATACACACATACACCCACACATCATTTTCATACATAACATATTAATTCAAATATTATACTCATAGATGCCTTGCTTTTAAAATGAATTGCTTCCTATTGATCTTTTCATTTATGAGATATTTATTTAGTCTAGTATTCTCATGTCTGTGGGGGTTTATGGCGCTGAATGCTGAAATACAGGCATTGCCTAGTTCAGCAGCAGAGGCTAATAAATTATACTTTCTGTAACTAGCTTAGAGTATGCTCTAGCTAAGTTTGTTATGTTAATCTTACTGTACTGATTTTTTTGGTCAATAAATCTTATTATTATTATAAGACAGACTTCTACACATAGAGAAAGGTAAATATACCAATAACTAGCAAACCAGTGGACCAAATGTACACCAAAACCTGATTTAAAAAAAAAAGAAAAAAAAAGTATTTAATTAATTGAGAACTTCGGAGATTTTGTGTGGTTTCGTTTGAAATTCGTGATTTCTCGAAAACCGGAAGTGCTACGTTACTCAAATCCGGCTTTAGTCTTATCAGACTATTCTTAACTTATAACTTAAATATTCTCTTTATCTATCTCTTACGGTTTGGCCGCTGAAACAGCACCACAGACAGACAGACGGACGGACTTGTCTAATAGATAAGAGATACCCGCATTCACTTAAGACGTGGCTATACGTTCTTTATTTTATTTGCCTTCCTAAAAAAAACTGACATGACAGTCGACAGTCGACCGACATTGGTGTCGATTCTGGCAGGATTCTCTAAACTTAAAACAAAATTTGACATCAGTCTGTATAGAAAATGACAGAGATACACTGTTGTCAAATTTAAGTTTAGCTGCAGAGAATCATGCCAGAATCGATACCAGTTTTTTACTTGACATTGGCTGAACGCACAAACCGTGCATGCCATAAAAAAAGAAAAAGAAGAGGAAGACCGACAGATAAAAACAGTGACAGAAATTTTCATAAACAAAATATCGTGTCGTGTTGTAGATAAACCAGTGATTTGGTATATTGTATTACTCATTTATTCCAAAACAACTGTGACTCTTTCTCGGCCATATAAATTTATATTGCATATTTTAAATGTGGGTTTATATTGTTATTCGTGAATGTAATTTTAGACAGAATAAAACCTGATGAAATGAGTAATGCTCATGTTTTCAAGAGAACTACGTTACTGATAATTTAACTTTGTCATGGATTCAATGCTCGCTATTAATTGGAATTGGGAGGACATGTGTGGACCTGAAGGTCTACAGCCATGGAACGACATAAAGAAAGATTTTGGGACATGCTTTCAAGAGCTGTTTTTACAAATACCAACATATTTTACCATTGCTATTGTGTCAGGCTACTATGTCGGCTACAGAAAAGATTGGGTTGTGAGAGAAAAAATGCAAGAAAACACAATTGTCCTTCGATGCTTTATAGTTTTAGCACTGTTTTTTATACCAATGATCCAGTTATATACTTTTCTCACTCAAGTTGTTAATTTTTTGCATCCCGTTGATTATTTTGTTGCGGGAGCAGCTTGCATATCATGGTTGGTTCATTTTGGTTATGTACTGGCTCTGAAACATCGCCTTGGATCAAGTTCAAGAGGACCCACAATCCAGCTGGTTTTATGGTGCCTGATTCTTATACTTAATGTGATAGCGCTTAGGAGCAACCTTCTTTCAGGAAGTCCTACAACATATAATATTGCAACACTATGTTGTCATATACTGTACTTTCTCACACTCATACCATCTAGTAATTCAAGACCAACATTTTATTCACCATGTCTTGTCGGATCACAACACACACATGTAAGGGTTTTAATTATTATTATTATAGCTTTTCTATAATGAACTCATTTACAAATTAAAACACACTAAAGTTAAATTCATAATGAGAAAGGAGAATGCCCATCGTAGTATGGACTGTAGTATCGCTACGAAAAATTTTGTACAGTGATGGTTTTTACCTTATTTTGTAGGGTCCTATGTGTAGATTCAATAATTAAATATACTTTTTCTCTAGCTCGACGGGTAATACGAATAACGACATAACAAATGTCATTATATTAATAATTCTTGCCTTCCCTTTTTCAAGTTTACCTATCTATAAAATGGTTGGATCAAATTAAAAAATCAACTCAGCTTAAAGGAAATAGATGAAAATAATTATAAACACTGAAATATTTACCAAATAATCTGCTCAAAATTAGAAACATCAGTGAAAAAAAATCAATTTGACAGACCCCGCTGGAAATATTATTACCAGTTTCTAAAAAAAATATGAATGAATCGATATTCCTCTTTCCCAAATTATCACTGCTGGTATAATAGTTTAAACCCGCTTAATTATTTATTACACTGTCATAGATTTATGATCATAGTAGAAGCATAAATGTTATATTTTGCACGTATAGCACATGTATAGCGTGTAATATCTGATACATTATTTGTGTTAAATCTGTGGACGGTATTGCGTCATGAGATACTTAGTAAAGCAAAAAAGAATTTATTTTATTGATATCAAAACAAACTGCGTTCAGGCTAGGTACAGCCAGATGAATGAGAAGTCCCCATGGAGTTCCTTTTATTATCAGCATGCAAGTTATGAATTACTCGTATGGATGATCGTTGGTCATGCACGTAGACATAAATGCATGTGATGCAGCATTTACGTTTAGGGCTGTATATGTATCATGTACGACCCTAAAAAATCGGTTTTTTTAACAGACACCGAGCCGTTGGGATACTTTTTTTTCTGACTACTTTTCTGACTGTAAATAAACTGTTAGCAGTCGATCTAAACGTGTATTATGGACTTTCGAGTCTATATCTATACTTAATAACCTTAATATACAGATCAGACTACTTTTTTTGTGACAAATGTAATGCAATATAATATGTTTACTTTAGCAAATTGAATTGTACACATAATCTAACTCGTTATTTTGATGAAATAACTACAAGTGCATCGATTATATTTTGATAAATCGATACGGTTATTATAAAATGGCAACACAGAAGACAAGTGGACAAGTGTGTCAAAAATACAAATGAAATGGAAGTGAATGAATTACTAATTTATTATAGAAATTTTTGTTCGGCGAAGTTAAAGCAAATTATTTAACATGGTTTTGTGAAAATTAAAAACTTAATTTTTGATATAAATTAGGTGAATGTACAAGGCCGACCAAGGACGATACTACCAATGGGCATTCTCCTTTATATGCTTTTAAATATCTACCCATCACCCATACTATCAAATTAAGTGATTGCTGTGAAATTCTATATTTTTTAAATAACTTTTTGTATTATATTTAACATTTTTATTGTGATGTATGATGTACTTCATTTTTTTTCAGAGTGAATATACTCCTTTACTCCCCCACATTGATGAAGGAATATTGGGTACTGCTATGCAAGGGTCTAGCTGCTTCTCTAAATTAATATTGTCTTGGATTAACCCTCTATTAGATAAAGGTATTTGTTTTAGTTTAATTAGTTAGGGATGTAAGTTGGGAGGCAAATATTATTAGTCTGTTGTATTTTTGATACACTGTTGTTCTATTGTTTTTTACACCATAGGTATAATACTACTAGTGGGTGCCTGAGACTGTCTGAGTGGAAATATAGCTTTCCCATACAAATTTCCTCCTACCTTTTCACCCCATTTAATGATGATTTCTAGGATAAAAACTATCCTATTTCCTTTCCCAGGACTCTAAAACTAAAATTCATTAAAATTGGTTCAGTTTCTTAATAATAATATAATATAATAAATATTATTGAATAATATTAGATTAATAATACTAATTTGGTTTGTTATTAAGTTATTATTGAATTTTAAGGTTTAGATAATAAATTAAATGACCCTGAGGAATTATTTGATGTTCCCGGAAAATACCGTTGTTCATATGTGGGCGCAAGAATGGACAGAGCCCTTATAGGCAATGTGGACCTCTACCAATACACTGACATACCTCATGAGCCTTTTATAGCGTCTGGTAAGCTGGATATAAATTATTTTTTTGTCATTCAAAAGTATGTCCCTTCTGTTAAATATAGCTTTGGAGTCATTGATGTTTATCATTACTTATCAAAATGATGGGTATGTTGTGCTTGTATAAATCTGTAAGGAGCAATGAAAACAATAGGGCAATGTGGTCTTTTGAATGCGAAGATTTGTGTGATCCATGGCAGGCTCTTCCCATTCCCGTTTATATAGATAAAATAGTTATTATCCTGACTATTGACAAGTCCTGTTTCGCAGTTCGCTCTGTGTCTAAATTTAATAATCTTATATCACTAATTGATTAGGGTAAGCAGTGTAGCCCCCGGGGCGTTACAAACATGAAAACCTCGAACTTTAGCATAAGCATATGAAAGGACATTGACGAAATCGGCCCTAGCATGCCCAAAATAATGTCCTTCACTATTATCTTTCTATTATTTTTTTAACATATTAGCAATTAATCATAGTAAACGGACAATCTGTTTAAAAAAATAAAAAAATAAAGTCCTGTTACTAGATACTACAGTCTATTCATCCAACTTGGCACTCCTTTTTATTGAAAAAACAGCATTAAAAATCAACTGATAACTGGATTCAAAAGGTTTCAGTCTATAATAACGATTTATTTTAATAGTTTATTGGCTTCGTTAATATTTTATTATTAAATGGGTGATTCTGTTAAAAAGTTGTGCCAAGATTGTTTACTTTAATAAATGCATTAGAGGCGACCATAGGTATTTATCAAAAGAAAAATAGAGAAACCTTAGTTAATAATACTTATTACTAGTATTATATTTATAAAAAGATTATTTCTGAAATTTTGTAAAGATAGTTTATACTCCCATCCCATGTAATATCTGTTTATTTTTATGAAAATCATAATGATCATCAGGTACATACCTATTTACCGATAGTAAAATATAGAAACAGGTAAATGGAAAGACTGAACATTTCATTTGAAAAGAAATCTATTATTACTACAGGTAAGGTAAAGGTATCGTAGGTGCCAACTGATAACACTCATTAATCAATATGAATATAAGCATTTATTATTTTTATTATTAATTGCATTTTATGTTCATTTCATGCATATTATTTAAGTGCTTACATAGAGGTAAACACTAAATCTATTCAGAATATATAAAGTGTACATCTTTTACGTTTAGTATAATAATTATAACCTCAAAATCTAATACATTCTGTAGTAGTCCACGGTTCCTCAAGTTGTCCGTATCTCAACAAATGCCTAATTAGAGTTTATGAATGATTCCGAACACAACTAGCATTTTCTCATTGCTGGGCGTTCTAGGGCATTCAATGTATGGGGAACGAGCAATGTCCTTTAACCCTAGATCACTAACCTTATTTTTATGACACTTCTCTTCTTCTTCTTGTTGCTACGGGCGTTTCCGCAACTCGACGTCCTTATGGCGCCTGTTTTGCGTGAGGAGGATGTATGGCCGGAATCACTCCAGCCAGCCCAGCTCCCCCAGGAACGCCCCCAGGTTCCTCTTGAAGGTTTCCCGGTGAGCCGAGGTATTTCGCCCGGTATTCGGCCACTCCGTTGCATTCCAGCAGAACGTGAGTAGCTGTTTCTTCTGCCTCCATGCATCCTCTGCATAGGGGGCTGTCCGTGACACCTAAGTTGAAAAGATGTCTATTAAAATGTGCATGTCCAGTGATAGCACCCGTTACCATGCGCAATGTAGGTTTGCTTAGCTGTAGGAGAGTTTTGGAGAAGGCAGCGTTCACCCGTGGCAAAGCGAGCTTGGTCTGCCTGCACATCTCCAGGTCGAGCCAGTATTGCTGGTGTAGTTCGGCAGTGTGCTCGCGGATTTTATTGACGAGACAGCTTACCGGTATTGGGACGATTGGTTCAGGACCTGTTGGGGTCTTATCAGATCCCTTCCGGGCCAGCTCATCCGCAGCGTCGTTTCCGCGTGATCCACTGTGTCCCTTGATCCATTGGATGGTAATAGAATTGCTTGACCCTACCTTGTTTAAGGTTTGGTGGCATTCTTGTAGGAGGCTCGATCTGACTAAACAGGCATCTAGAGCTTGTAGAACTGATTTACTGTCGGACAGTATTCGTATTTCCTGACCTGTTACCTTTCTTGAAAGGATCGCTGTTGCCGCCAGTGTGATGCCCATACATTCAGCTTGGAACACTGTGTTGTATGGGCTTAAGGGGAACGCGATGTGTATGTTGAGGTCCTCAGAGAAAACACCCGCGCCCGTGCCCGATGAGGTTTTAGAGCCGTCGGTGTAGATCATGAGAGCCTTGTGTGTTACCTTTGGATCGTTGTCATCCAGTAGATGTATTCTGTACTTTTTGTCAAATATGAAGGCGGGTATTATTTTGTCACATGCAGCATCTATGAGCGGAGTGTTTACCCATTCCTTCAGTATACCGTTGAGATGCCTTGCTCTTTCGCACCTTACCAGTCCAAACTTTTGTAGTCTCAAAGCTGTTTTAGCCGCTTCCTGTCTTATGTAGATATGGAGCGGTGTGATGTTTAAAATAACTTCCAGTGCTGCGGTTGGAGCTGTACTCATGCACCCGGTCACCGCGCTGCATATCTGCCGCTGGAAGCTTTGTAGTTTGTTGACACAAGTAGTCTGGATAGATCTCGGCCACCATATGATGACGCCATAACTTACCATTGGTCGTATGACTGTGTAATATAATCATAGGAACAGTTTTGGTGCAAGACCCCAGCGCTTCCCTAACATTTGACGGCATTGCCAAAGTGTTACGCTGGCTGTCTTGATTTTGTGTTCCACATGGTTACTCCAGTTTAGCTTACTGTCAAGTATAAGGCCTAGATACTTTACCTCCTTCGACAGTTGTAGTGTGATACCAAACAGCTTCGGCAAGTTGAAAGCACCTACGTCACGTTTGGTTGTAAACATTACCAGCTCTGTTTTTGTTGGATTAACTGTGAGGTCGTATTTCCTGCACCAGCATTCAACCAGTTTCAAAGCACCTTGCATGGTGTTACAGGTAATGCTGGCGTGGGTGCCTAGGGTAAGTATAGTAATGTCATCTGCATACCCTATGGTGTAGTAGTGGTTCGAGTTTAGCTTGGTCAGCAGGTCGTCAACTACGAGGTTCCACAGAAGTGGCGAAAGAACCCCTCCTTGCGGATATCCTCGTGACACCAGTGCTCCTCTGCTGTCCTCACCTTTTACCCGAACTATTCTATTGCGAAGCATGTTAACTGTCCAGTCAATGATTTGTTGCTCTACTCCGTGTCTCCTGAGAGCAGACTCAATGCTGGTGAAGTTGGTCTTATCGAAAGCACCCTCTATATCGATGAAGTTTCCGAGGCAGATAAGTTTATTTTGAAGGGCTTCTTCTATCTTACCGACTAACTGATGGAGAGCCGATTCAGTAGATTTACCTGAACTGTAGGCATGTTGATGTTTGTGTAGTGGGGCATTGATTAATGCTCCACTGCGTAGGTATCTGTCACATAGCCTTTCCATTGTCTTAAGTAAGAAGGTTGTTAGGCTAATGGGCCTGAAGGATCTAGGGTTAGTATAGTCGGTTTTACCCGGTTTGGGTATGAATACTACCTTGACCTCCCTCCACAGATGTGGAGTGTACCGATGAGCCAGACATGATCTTAGTATACGAGTAGCCGCATCGGCCACGTCCTGTCCGCCCCATTGTAGTAGTGCTGGAAAGATGCCGTCAGAGCCAGCAGATTTGAAAGGCGCAAAGCAGTTAATAGCCCACTTTACCCTAATTACCGTCTCTGCTAGTCTCCAGCATCCTTCTGTTGTACTTGGAGGTTCATCTTGCCAAGTCACCTGCTCTATAAGCTGGCAGTCCGGAAAGTGGGTTTCTAGGAGGATAGCGTCGCAGTCAGCACGATTGTGGGACAATGTGCTGTCAGGTCGACGCAGGCTTCCCAGCACGCCAGGGCCTTGATGACCAGCAATTTCCTTACCCGGTTTGCCTGGTTGGTGGAGCTTATCTCCTCGGTGAAGTTCCTCCAGGAGGCTGTTCTCCAGTATCTGATACGTTTTTTGTACTTAGCTTTGGTAGCTTTGTAGTTGTCCCAGTCTGTGCTGCATGTATTCATTGCTCTGTTAAGGCACTTCCTCACCTTTCCTCTCAATCTCTCGAGCTCCGGCCCCCACCAGTGGTGTTTTCCGGATACTCTCGAGTTCGGGAGTCTAAGGGGGCAGGCCTCTTTGTAGCAACGCGTTATGCTGTCTGTCAAGTGTTTTACCTGTTGTTCTAGCTGCTCCGTGGTTTCAATTCTGGCCTTACCGGAGTTGTTTCTTAGAAGATCCGCCAGTAGTTGTGCGTAGCGGTGTTTATCGGTTTTCAGAGGATACCTTTGGGGTGTAGGAGATAGAGTTCCTACCTGTAGTGTAAAGCGGATCCAGCGGTGATCTGAGCATGATGCCTCATCGGAGACATGCCAGCCAGATATAGCTGTTGCCGCTTTTGGTGTCGCGAGGGTCAGTGGGCCAATCGCCTAACCAGATTGCTTTGGAAAACGCTATCGCTTACGATTTCTTTTGTTATTTCTAACAGCCGAAGGTTTTCAAATACCTCACGCTCATTTTCTTTAACATTGTTATTACCAATGCAAAAGAAAAAAAAAGAGCGCGAGGCATTTGAAAACCTCAGGCGGCTAGAAATAACAAAATGAAATCGTAAGCGATAGCGTTTGCCAAAGCAATCCAGTTAGGCGATTGGCCCCCAGGTCTATGATGGTCTTTCACCGTCTGCCTACGAAGGTAGGTTCATTACCTGTGCTGATTAACTCTAGGTTAGTAGTCAGGAGGAATTCAAATAATTGGTTACCTCTGTTGTTGCTTTGTTCCATTCCCCACACAGGGTGATGGGCATTGGAGTCTGTCGCGATTTTCAGTTCTACGTTTTCCCGAGCACAGAAGCGGACCAGAGACGCAACGTTTTCTGGTGGGGCCCGCTTGCTGTCAGGCATATATGCAGAGGCTATGATCACGTCACAACTGTTATTATCTTGGTTTAGGGTCAGTTTTACAGCGCTGAGATCTCTGGAACAGAAATTCATTAAGGGCTGTGTTCTGATGTTTTTGGAAATGTATATGCAGGACCTTACGTCGCTAGTAGTGGCTTGAACGAGCTTACCTCCTATGCTGGAGAGTCCTCGCACCGTGCCACTCCTAATCCACGGCTCCTGGATTAGTGCGACTGCTGTGTTGTTGGTCTCCAACCACCGCCGAAGCTGAGCCGTAGCGGTTACGCTGTGGTGGAGATTTATTTGCAGTATATTTGCACTACTGCAGAGGGACGCCATCGTCCTGGCAGTCGACGTCCTCAAGCCCCAGCCCGTCGAGTATAGGAGACACTCCTCACTAAGCGGCGAAGACGCCACCTGCGAGGGTCCCGGAACTTCGACAGCCGGTGACGAGGCACGTGGAACGACGGTGTCCGTGGGGCCAGCGCTAGTGTGAATCCTAAGAACACTGTGGTATCTACAGAGCTCATATGTCGATCCTTTATATTTACATTAGTTTTTACCTGTTTCACATTAGGTAATACAAATTTCAAACACTTAGTTTTCCCTTCATTTAGCATCAAATTATTAACATTGAACCAGTGGACTACCTTCGAAATAGACCTGTTCACGTCATCAATTTGTGACTCCCTACGTTTAATTTTAAACAAAAGTGAAGTGTCATCCGCAAACAATACTATTTCGTGGTTATCCTTTACAAAATAGGGCAAGTCATTGATATAAATTAAAAATAAGAAAGGACCAAGGATTGAGCCCTGCGGAACTCCCATCTTAACCGACGAACCAGGAGATTTTACTCCATTGATGTCAACCCTCTGAACCCTATCACTCAAATAAGATACAATAAGATCCAGAGTGGTATCTCTAAATCCATAGTGGTGAAGTTTCCTGATCAATGTTTCATGAAAAACGCAATCAAAAGCTTTTGATAAGTCACAAAATACACCTAATGCATCTTGCGAGTTCTCCCAGGCATCAAAAATTTGCTGTACAAGCTCAACACCGGCATCGGTTGTTGAGCGACCCCTTGTGAAACCAAATTGTTTACTATCAAGAATGTTATTACTATAAAAATATGATTGCATTTGATCTAGCATAATTTTTTCAAAAATCTTACTAAAGGTGGGTAACACGGATATAGGTCTAAAGTTTGTGGGGTCAGATGTGCTACCCGATTTATGTAATGGAGTTATTTTACTGAGTTTCATTAGATCAGGAAAAACACCACAGTCAACACATTGATTAAAAATGCTAGCCAAAATAGGAGCTATTGTCTCAATTACTGATCCAGAAACATCCACGGAGTTACCCCACAGATCCGCAGTTTTCTTTTTATTTAATTGGTTGAAATATTTTATTACATCTTTACAGTTAACGTATTTAAATTTAAATTGACTAGTATATTGTTTTGTGTGTTCTTTTAATATTGATTCAGCAGCAATGGGGGACGAGTTCAAAGATTTTGTAGTTGAAACTGGAATATCAGTGAAAAAGTTCTCAAATGCTGTAGCAACTTCAACATCCGATGTAACATTTCTATGTTCAATGTTTAAATTAAAACTAGTATTTCGAGTTTTAGATTTTCCAGTTTCATTGTTTATAATGTTCCAAGTCATTTTGATTTTGTCATTACTATTCTTAATCTTACTACTTAAATAATTTGATTTTGCTGTACGACATACTTTTTTAAATAACTTTGAATAATTACGTACGTACTCTTTGAAACTTTCACTAGTATTAATGCTGCGTTCATTGTAAAGTTCATAAAGTTTCCTTCTACTTTTATGTATGCCTGGGGTGGCCCACTCGCTGAAAGTTACTGCATCACTAACACATATGGTTTTGGGAACAAAGACATCATTAAATTCTTTACAAAAATTATTAAAAAAATCATTATACATATCATTTGGACTACTTTTATACTTTAAATAACTCAAACTCCTATCTAATTGAATTTTAAAACGCTCTATACGGTTAACAGATTTTGGCACAATAGTAATATATTTCTTGGTGATATTTTTATTTGGATGTGGAAAAGTAATCATCTGACCACAATGATCACTATCCAGTTGATTAACAATTACTTTTGAATGTGGTATTATATCCGTATAAATATTGTCAATACAAGTGGCCGAAGTGGCAGTTATTCTAGTAGGCTCCATGAACAAGTTTTCAAGATTATATGATTGAAATAGATTTCTTAATTTAATACTCAAATTAGAGGTTTCTAATAGATTAATATTAAAGTCACCACAAACAATAATATAGAATGCATGTTCGTATGTGACCTAGTAATAGTGCATGATTATTCATACCTACTCCGGCGGTAATGCCGAGATGAGCAGAATTGAAAAGCTTAATTCTGATTAATGTTTTTTCTCGCACAGTCATAATAAATAAATATTATTAATAACCGGTTATTTTCTTTTCTCAATTAAAGTAAATAAATTTTATTGAAAAATCGGATGTTTTTTTTCACTTAATCTTTGTAAATAACTTTTATTAAATAAAAACTTTTTTGCTCACTCTACCTTTTTCGTTTGAATTGACAGCTATGACGTCACAATATGGCGCCCCATCGATCCTATTCTTAGTTGAATCGCATTAAACTGTCTATCGCAGGGGCAACGGGTAGATTGAAATGAGCCAAAGTATTAAAAGGATGCGATCGCGCGCGTAGAAGTTTATGCGATTTTTTTAAATGTGCGTCGTCGAATCGACGAACGTTAGTAATCTAGGATTAAAATGGAATGAACAGGTACTACAGGTATAAATAATATATATATATAAAAAAATACCAACTAAAAATTTTGATCTTGATTTTTTTTTAATGAGATTGCCTTGCGGTGGTGTCATCTTTTGTACCTAGTTGGTGTATACTTTTCATTACCGTACTGGATATTTAAAATTTCACTAAATATAATACTAAAAATAGAACAAAAAGAAATATTTAAGGGGGGCTCCCATATAACAAACGTGTTATTTTTGCCGTTTTTTCGCTTTAGTTTTAACATGTTATCAAAGTGATTTTCCATTTACAACCCGTCCGAAATGAAGTTTCACTTCAAAAACATTCTTTAATTAGACTTTATATACTCAAGTATTATTTCTTTAATATTTCTTATTTAAATAATAAAAAAAGCACAGAAAAAAATTGGTAAACATTGCAATTTATAGTATAAAAAGCACAATTCCATTTCAACCTTGAACATCTATTGACTGTTGCAGAAGTCCGAGGTCTAAACCCCCAGGCGCTCCACTATTTTTTTTTATTTTGTAAAACACCAATTAGCCCAGCCCCAAAGTAAGCACTGTAAGGCTTGTGTTATGGGATACTAGGGTAACGGATAGAATACATATATTGTACACATATAAGTATATTTATATAGAAACACATATAAACCATCCATGACTGGAGTACCAATGCTCGTATTCATTACACAAACATCTGCCCCCACCGGGATTCGAACCCGGGACCTCTCGAGCCGGCGTCAACATGAAACCCGGCGTTTATACGCCGGGTTTCATGGTGACGCCGCCACTACCAATCGGCCACGGAGGTCGTCAAAATAGTAATAAGTCATGTTCATCCAAAGTGTAATGTATAAAATCAATCTTCCTGTATTGTTTGGTGTTTATAGTACCAATGTTATATTTGATTTCTATAAGATTAGTCTAGTTTTTCTTTGGCTCAAATTATTTCTCCTTTTCAAATGATTTAAGCTTGAAAATAATAATTTGCACATCATTCTCGTTTGCAGGATATGGATCTGTTGGTCAAACAGCTCCCCAATCATCAACTCCAGTCACTCCCACATCTCGAGTGCCAGTCAGGCGACAAAAACGACAGAATGTAACACTATTAAGAGCACTACATACTTGTTTCGCAATACAATTCTATAGTATTGGTGTTTTGAAACTAGTTTCTGATATGGCTGGATTTGCTGGTCCCATATTGTTAAATAAATTAGTGGCTTTCGTTCAGGACGAAAGTATTGACGAACATTTGGGGTAACTAAAATCACATTGCCTTATCATATTTCCAAGAAATTACATGATTAATTGTTTACAATTGTACTTTCAGGTACTCATATGCTGCTGGGCTTTTGGCTGCCACAATTGTAGCTGCCCTGTTTGATGTTCATTTCAATTGGCTTATGTCTATTGTTGGACTTAAAATGCGTGGAGCTATAGTCTCTACAATACTTAAAAAAACTCTAAGTGTGACTTCTACTGAATTGACAAAATCATTCACAGTTGGTGAAATAACGAATTTTATGTCGACAGACACTGACAGAATTGTTAATTCATGTCCCAGCTTTCATGCCTTATGGAGTATACCACTGCAAGTAAGTAAAAAATCATTTAAAATCCTAGAAATAAAATTATGATTATGAATAATTAAATCAATAACAGTATTTCTATTTCAGCTTTTCATAACATTGTTTCTTTTGTATCAACAAGTAGGCATATCTTTTCTAGCAGGTGTTGCTTTCTCTGTTATTCTCATACCTGTAAACAAACTAATTGCCAACAAAATAGGTCATCTTAGTACTGAATTGATGAAACATAAAGATGCTCGAGTGAACTTAATAAATGATATGCTAAAAGGAATCAGAACTATAAAACTTCATGTATGGGAAGACTATTTTGTGCGAAGGGTTACTGGTATGTACTGCTTTTTGCATACTAAGCAGCATAATAATACCACACCCCTCTCTCCTCCGAAACGGCTTGATTGATCCTTATGAAATTTTGTGTAAATACAGGGCGTTCCACGGGTTTGTCACGCGGAGGGAAAGTATATTAAATATTGAATATTTTTTATTTTTAATAAAAAGGAGAAATGCATTCACTGTTTTAATAGAAACGCTTACCAAAATTGGAAATCAAACTCGTATAATGTGAAACAAAAAAAAAACACATGTATATTAAGATAACCGTCGAAAGGGTAAATCATGAGGATTATTTTTTCCTTAATAACATACTATTTTAAATGAAAGAAAATATACGAAATTTGACTTTTGTTTAAGAATTGAACACAAACTACAATAAAACAAAACGATGATGGGATTGTATAAGTATCGCTTTATTTATTTTTTCACGTACTTAAAGTAAGGAAATCCTGTATTATTAAATGAGCAGGTACTAGTTAGTAAATACATTGAAATGATAACATTAGCTGTTAACTATTAACGGAAAAGTAAGAGGAAATTTTCCTGCACAAAATTTCATTTTACGATCTTCCTTTTCTTAGCTTACTGTTGGAAGCTCGGAAAAGTAACAAGAATTTTTCCTGAACAAAATTTCATTTTACGATCTTTCTTTTATTAGCTGTTGAAAGGACGGAAAAGTAACAAGAAATTTTCCTGAACAAAATTTTAATTTCATGATCTTTCTTTCATTTAAAATGCTATGTTATTTAGGAAAATATAATCCCTATGATTAACCCTTTCGATGGTTATCATAAAATACGTCATGTATTTTTTTTTTCAAATTTCACGAGTTAGATTCCCAGTTTTTTTGTTTTTTCCCCAGCACGCGATTATTATAAAATCTGTGAATGCAGTTCTAGTTATTATTTAAAATAAAATGATGTCTGCTTTCTGTAAAATATCCTATCTTCAATATTTAATATACTTCCCCTCTGTGTAACAAACCCGTGGAACGCCCTATATACAGTGGTGGTCGTATAATTAGAAACACTACCAACGGTCCCAGACATTATGTAAGATACTTCACCGCAATCGTTTTTATTTTGAAATTAAACAATACATAGGACAACAACATGTTTAACTATTTATCATTTATTAGAAAAACAATATAAATCCCACTACACAAGTGCAGTTTCAATATTACATTACGGACAAACATTTAAATCAGTTTTGCGGTATGAACAATAATGGTCAACTAATTAGAAACTACAACAAAAAAGTATAAAAAACAATATTTTTTAAGTATTAGTATTTAGTATTTTTATTTACCAAATACCTACTATCCACAGCCTACCAATAGTTATAATTAATATTTAGTGGTGTATCTCTTATTTCCAATAACAACACTGCAACGACGTGGCATTGATTCAATCAATTTCATACATCTTTCTAGGGGCATCGAATTCCATGCTTCAACAAATGCTTCATATAATTCGTTTTGACTGGTGTTACGTTTGTTTGAGACTTTCTTTTTACCCGGCTGCGCAATGCAAGAGCGCGAAGCGCGACGCGCAGACAGGGTTATGCGTTTAACAGTCTATATATGTATGTTTGTTCCTTTGTGGCACACTAGAGACCAAACGCCTGAAGCGATTTTGATGATTCATACATCAATCGATTCGTCTCAATCATGGGAGTGCTACTAAAGATATGATAGTAATCAAAATTCAATATGGGCAAAATTAGGCGCCATATTGTGACGAAGTAAAAAAAATAAGTTGACAAAATATGTCGAGTGGGGTATCACTGTCTAGATAATCAAAAATCATATTTAGGTTCCTAACACCATTTTTCATTTTATGTGATTGTTTAGGATCTACAACGCTTTAAAGTTGTAAATTAACCACTTACGCTTTTAATTTCAATCTTACGTTTAGATGGATCTTTGTTACTCTTTCACCTAAAAAATACTGAATGGATTTTAATGAAACTGAACAGTAATATAGCTCATATATGATAATTACATATATATAATAATTTATGTAGTTATTGAGTGAATTGGGCAATATATAACAATAAGTGTCACCTAAGACGGAACAAAATCTCCCACCTGCGAGCCATTTTGGCCTGCACTGCAAAAACAATAAAAGTTACATAAATGTAATGTAGAGTGAAAATGTATCTCTTAAATAGTTCTAAAAAAAAGTCCGTGACACCATATATCTATTTTTAATGAGTGAGTCATTACCGCTAAAATAGTGAATCAAAACTAAAACATTATTTGATATCTATTTCCAAAATGCACATTTTGATTAACAAATAATTTTTTATCAAAAGCAAATACTTTTATCGCTTTTGCTTTTTACAATATGTCATTTTTACAAATATTTAAAAAGTTACAACGATGACAAAGTGATAGCGCGGTGTACTATGTAAGAGAAAAAAAAATGGGGTATTCGCAGTATCTGATCCTATACGAAGTACTAACAATAAAACTGTGATACAGTTCCTCCTTATTAAATGATGAAAAATATATTATCGTATTAGGTATTTATGATTATTGAATTTTAATGAAAAACTCAGAATTTTAATGTTTTTAATTTTTTTTAACGATATTACTTAATGTTACAAAAAAGGTTTACTTAATATAATGACAAATAACCCATTTTTCGCTAGTAAGTACATACTTATTGGAATCCCTGTATTTATTAATCAGCTCGCGATAATATTGGTTTTGTAATAATTCTGCAAAATTAAAAGTAAATAATGTAGATTTTTATAGGTAAATCACCCCTTTCATCACCCTTCGCCTATATGTATTGCGATGTTGCAGCTAAGAACCAAGTTCCCATCTACTTCTATATGGGAATTCATTATATTCGATTTATCTATTAGGGCACGGAAGCGCAACAAACAAACTCACTTTCACATCTATAATATTATATTATACTTACTAGTGTTACTAGTGACCCGGGCATTGTACGGGCGAAATTTATTTATCGGGATAAAATATAGCCTACGACACTCGGACAAAATGTATTTCAATAAAGAAAAATGTTATATTAAATAATGTAGCTACCTTATAATGAATTAATATTTGAAACCGGTTCAGTAGTTTGACAGATTATTTGTTACAAACATACAAATCTTGCCTCTTTATAATATTAGTATAGATAGTTAGGATAAGATAAGTATTTAATTGATGAAAAATATTAAAAATAAAGTAAGTAATAGGTTTATTTGATTATATTTGTAAAAATTACTTAGCATTTGTGCTTACAGTGATACGTTATTCGGTATTTTTTTAAACAAAATAAAATTGGAAAATAATTGCCATGATTGCACTACTGGGAGTACTCTTCATTCGAGCTTTACACTACCAATAAAAAATGGTCGAACTCAAGCTCTTTGAGCTGTTAAATGTGAACGCTTTAAAAGAAAACTACAAAGAGAACTATAAATTGATAATAAATGAGATTGCTATGGTGCTCTACCTAACGTTATAAAAATTTTATTATGCGCCTTTAGTTTAATCAAATATTATAAACTTTGCTTTGGTGATTGCATAATTATTTAATTTAGTGATCTAAGGCAGTTGCCACCATTGTCCAAAACAACAGACGGGAATTACTGCTTTCTTCAACCTGCGACATAAACGTCATTGATTGGTATTGTATATAGGTTGATTAAAAACATTTGAAGTTAACTTCTGGCATCTACATATTGGGTTTCTGTGAATTATGTAGGTATATCAAATTATGAGACTAGGGACTGACACTGAATTTGTGTATATCACAATCTTAGACGTCCGGCATTGACATGACAATGCAGCCACTGCCAATTTTAAATAGTCGACGAATAAAAGTAAATGAATTTTATATTTACTGCTAAACTATTAAAAAAAAACATAAACAAAAGATGACTTTTTGAGTAAGTGCTAGTTTACTATAAAATTTACATACATTAGAGATATTTATGTAACGACTTGATTTAACTTCACACATTTTTGCGAAAATTGAGGCCCATCTGTAGCCTTGACCCCGCTGGTAAAGTCTATATATGTCTTAATAAATCAATCTTTTAGACCGACGCAAGGTACTTAATAATTCCCGCGATATTAATTCCCTTACTGAAGTAACAAGACTACGGTATATACCGTCTTAAAATACTAACTAACTAAAAAGTGTGAAATAAAAAAGGTAAATTTAAAAAATCAAAAAACCCGACTGCTTAATTATACTTCAAATAAAAACTGAAAAGAAAAAAACAAGTCCAGTAGTCTATAATTCTGTTAATAAGGAACAAAGCTACTTTAACAGTCGGGACCCACTGTTGAAAAATATTATGTACTAGCTGACCCAGCGAACTTCGTACCGCCCTAAAAAAATAGGGGTTGTCCAGCGGACAAAATTGTGAATCTAAACCATTCTCAGATCCCCTTGAACACACACAAAAATTCATCAAAATCGGTCCAGTCGTTTAAGAGAAGTTCAGTGACATACACACTCACAGAAGAATTATATATATAAAGATATAGATAATAACGGTCATTTTTATTACCTGTATTTATAACCAAACTAAAATTCTCATATTTCCGTTTTCCAGTACTCATTTTCTACACGTTTTACATGATTTATTTGCTAATTTTGTTTACAAATGTTTGGTTTTTATTCTAAGGTAAGCACTATTTCTCAATATCCATTATTCTCTGTCAATAAGGTCGAACGCTCTGAACGCATCAACAGCCAAATATTGAATGGGAGCGGGGGAGCGGGTGTGAAATCCTCATGGATACCCTACAGCGGGCTGTAGAGTTATGTCAGACTCTTACTGACTAAAACACACCCGTGGGGGGTGCCTATGGCCTTAGGGGCCTTACAGGCTTCATCTGATGCGATCAACCCCTGAGAAGGGGATGATGCAGCGCTGACTTAGTAAATACTACTGCATAGTGCGCTTAGAGGACGGATGCACCCTGATGTGCATCCGTATCGGTTTGGGACTGAGCGACTGAAGGTCTCTCAGGATCGGGTGGGCGGGGAAGCTCGCTTTCGGACCTCCCGCCTTTTTATAATTTGAATATTTCCGTCATACATGATTTCTATGTAACTTTAACCATTAAGGCTCCACACGCGACGGAAGCTTAAAAAATGGAGTAACTTCTCCCGTTTTCCCAACATTTCCCTTCACTACTCTGCTCCTATTGATTGTAGCGTGATGAAAAGTATACTATAACCTGCCCAGGAGTATGAAGAATAATTGTACCAAGTTTCGTTAAAATCCGTCGAGTAGTTTTTGTTTCTATAAGGAACATACACACAGACAGACAGACAGACAAAAATTTTACTGATTGCATTTTTGGCATCAGTATCGATCACTTATCACCCCCTGATAGTTATTTTGAAAATATATTTCATGTACAGAATTGACCTCTCTACAGATTTATTATAAGTATAGATTCTTGAATATCTAATGGGTCCCGACTGTTAAAGTTAGATTATAGACTACTGGACTTGTTTTTTTCTTTTCAGTTTTTATTTGAAGTATAATTAAGCAGTCGGGTTTTTTGATTTTTTAAATTTACCTTTTTTTATTTCACACTTTTTTTACAATGTACATACCAGAGATTGTCTATCGGGTTTTAATTGGGACTATTTGCTGGCCAGTCTAAAACGGATATACGCTGTTCGCTAAGGAAACTATTAACGCTATCGGCCGTGTGTATAGGGTCATTATCATGCTGAAAGATCCAGGTTGCAGGCAAATGATCGTCCGAGTAGGGAATCATTGTGTGGTCTGAGATATTTTTGTATAGCTTTTAATCCATTGTACCTTCAATATTCCGAACGGGCCAACTCCAGAACCGGAAAAACACCCCCAATTTTGAATGTTACCGCCACCGTGCTTGACTTACTCTTTGTGTGTTTATAATTAAAAGCATTGTTTACAGGACGTCTAACATAGCGCTTTCCATCGGAATTTACCATATTTATTTTTGTTTCACCTGAAAATAACACTTTTCCGTTCTCGTACCGTCCAATATATTTTTTAGCGAATAATAATCGCTTCTCTCGGTGTTGCTTGGTAAGAAGAGGTACCTTTCGATCGATTCTTCCAAACAATTAAGCTTCCACTAATCTTGACGAGATGTTTCTCGGGTCATCAGGCGAAAAAACCAAATTTTTAATCTGGTTCGAGCCTTTACTGGGGTCTTTATTAGCAACACGAACGATTAGCGTATCTTCTCTGGGAAAGGTTTTTCTTGGCCGAGCCTTTCTAAGAATATTTTCAACAATTCCATGTGTTCTTTAATGAATAAATGCATTAAAACATAACTTAAAAGAACAATTTAAATGCCCAGCAATTCTTCTATACGCCCACTTATGATCTATATGTAAATAACCAATTATTTTCCTAGTTGCGTCACAACTTTTATTTTTGCCCATTTTGAATAAAATAAAATTAGATTAAATTTTGAATTGCCGCCAAAATAATAGAAAAAGCAAAGAAAGAAATGTTATCCTCCAATTTCTAAAGAAGAACGAACTATGGATGTTTTTTTATAATGTTTCTAATAAGGCATCCAAGCGGCCAGTAACAGAAAATACACCTACATTATTTGTAAGACTCATTTTGTAATTAAAAGTAAGATTTGTTTTATATTTTATGCATTTAATGAGTCTTTTATTTGAGTGGCTATATTATTGTATAATTATTGATTATTGAATGTGTATATTTTTTACGAACATTTTTACGTTGAAGTTGTACTTTCTTTATTCATAATAAGTGTTTCTAATTATATAACCACCACTGTATATATATTCAGTAGCTCTGAGAATAGGACGTTAACTATTTTTTATTTTGAATCTTGGTTCAATTTATCTCAAATCATCATCAATCAATCACATCCAAAATTATACTTAAAAAGATTCGATATTAATAATACATTCCTAGTTTGTTATAAATTAAATTCAAAATTGTAATTTTTTCATCCAATTTAGGCTTTTACAAGTTCATTGCGAAATCAAGAAGGGGAAAATAACATGAAATCCTTAAAGTTAATGTTTATTGTAATCCACATTATATAATCCTATTCCAAAGTTCCAGTTTGTGATTATTTTTAATAAATCAATAATATAAAATTTTATTGACAGACGTCCGGGCCAAGGAACTAAAGTATCTTCGCGGCCGAAAATATTTAGACGCTATCTGTGTCGTGTTCTGGGCGACAACCCCAGTGTTGGTAGCTGCTCTGACTCTCGGCACACATGCTTTGAGGAAACAAAGTCTAGATGCTCCAACTGTAAGTATATTTTATTAATTTTTGATTATTAAAATATTGTAATTATTTCTATAAATTTTATAATATTCCAGGTATTTACAACAGTTGCATTAATAAACATGTTGATTGCGCCACTAAATGCCTTCCCCTGGGTTCTTAATGGGCTCACTGAAGCTTGGGTTTCCATCAAACGGATTCAAAAACTATTAGATGTAAGTTATTTTTATTAGTGTACTAGTGGCTCGCACTCGCTTCGCTTCGATACCTATAGGGTTTCATATATAGCCTATGACATTCACAAATCATGTTCCATTGGTGAAAGAATTTTCAAAATCGGTTCAGTAGAACAACACAACTTCTCTACAACATCACAAAGGACATTGTTCTGCGTCCATACATAGTTAGCCTAAGAACCAACAATCATGAAATATTATTTTCTAGGTTCGAAATCGCAAGTAAATGTGTATAAAAACGAAGATTATTGACAGACACTTCTGAGAACTTAAATTATTAGGAAAACTATAATTTTTTGAGGTTATGTTTAATATTCAATGAAACATAGGTCAACCTACAAACTTAGTATGAAGTGAATTAATATTATAACTAATTCATTTTATTCGGTGCGATTTTAAAGTATAACTATTAGGAAAAACTTGGTTAGGTAGGAATCATGAATAAAATAAAAACTGTAGTTTTGCTTCTTATTATTTATTAGCTATTTTTCACATAATTGTATCATATTGTATTTATTTGTTTAACACATGTATATTGTGTAAATATGCAGCGTGAATGTGTATCAGATGCTCTTGAATAATTTGGCAGTATGATCCTCTAAGGATGTTGTGGCACAGGTTCACTAGCACTTGGTAATAAGGTCTCTGCACTTTGGTAACATCGATGGCATATTAGATAGCCGAAATAGTAATAGTTAAATTATAGGAAAAACAATCGTAAATAAACACACACAACAGGTAATCCGAAACGAGAATTTTCCGTATATAAAAAGTACTCTTTGACGAGAATGCACGAATGCCAAAGATTACTACGAATGCAATCTGCCTGCACCACAACCACAGAGTACCGTGTTTATGCCGGCCCTTCACCTGACAACAGTTTGTCCTTGTCATGCTTAATAAGGAATGAAAAGGACAGACTGATGTCATGTTTTTAAATAGCAAATAGGAATAGCCAAGTGAAGTGCCGGCATTAGGAATAAAGAGTGTTTTGTTTGCAGTGCTGTCATAGATTATACACATAAAATGGTATTTATTGGTGTCGATTATGGCAGGATTCTCTAAACTTAAAACTAAATTTAAGATCAGTCTGTCCTTTTCATTCTGTATAGTGAATGACAGGGATACGCTGTTGTCAAATTTAAGTTTAGCTTTAGAGAATCATGCCAGAATCGATACCATTGTCTCAGATTATTTATTAACTTTTTAATTTAGCATACTTAACTGGAAGTGTCCGTCACAATCTAAATACTGATATCATAATTGCCAAATTGGTGTTGGTTCTTAGGCCAATTTTACCATTGTCCTTTACCTCTACCTTTATTATTATAGATTTATTATCAAGATAAAAACGATAATAACTCCTAATATAAACATTGCAGCTTCCAGATAGTGACTCAGAAGAATATTATGATAGAATAAATACCAACAGTGATGAGGATAAGGTCGTCATATTTAAAAATGCATCGTTTTCGTGGGCAATAACATCACAAAGAAAGATACCTGTAAAAAAAGATAGAAAAAATAAAGGGAAATCCAAAAAACGTTTGTCGAAAGTCAACGTTCAAAGAAATGATTCAACTTCCTCATCGGAAGCATTACCTGTGGAGGGTCCTTTTATGTTGAAAGATATTTCTCTTGAAATACGTAGAGAGGAACTTATTGGTATAACGGGCAACGTTGGCAGTGGAAAAACCTCTTTTCTACTTGCTATTATTGGAGAAATGTTAAAGAAAAATGGTGACATACAGATACCCGATAATCTTAATGGTAATATTCATGAAATAATTATTGCATTAGTTAGATTTCGATATTCGTATTTCAAATTCCAGATAAGTGCGGAGCAAACTAAGCATCAGCTCAGCACTTACTGCTCATTTTTGACGTGACAACGTCTTAAATTAGGTTGCGGCTGGGAGTCACTTATGAAAAAGTGTAACGCTCGGTAACGTTACGATGAGTCTCTCGTGTTAAGTTTAAGTTTACATGTACAATGTTTTAGTAAACAAAATATATTTCTATAGTTAAAATTTGTGCAATTCTTATTTTCATTCAATTCCTTGTTCCTATTGTGCAATTTAATTATATTCATATCAATAAATATTCTACCGAGAAAAAGACGTTGTCACGTAAAATCTTCGCCCGTAAAACCGACTTTACAGGCAACCATTTTTTTACTGTATTTTTTTGCATTGGTAAAAATGCCATTTTATCATGGTTATAGATATTTCAGTATAATGCTATTAAACTAAGAATAGGACCGCCTGGGCGCCATATTGTGACGTCATAGCTGTCAATTCAAACCAACTAGGAAAAGTGAGAAAAAAACATCTTTTTTAATAAAATTAATTTACGAAGATTGAGAAAAAAATGCAACCGTTTTTTAATAATATTAATTTTTTAAATTTAAAAAAATACATTAATCAGAATGTAGCTCCTCAATGACGAAGTTTCCATTTTTTTTAACATATAAATTGCAAAAATAAAAAAAAAATGAAAGAATCATTAAAATATCTCTACAAATGAAAAAGTTATGGGATATTTGTTTCTTAGGTTTCCACGCACATCACTCATTAAATAAAACTAGTTTTTTACGGGTTAATGCACGAAACTTTATTTATTAATTGACGTTTCGCAATAAATAAATAAAGTTTCGTGCATTAACCCGTAAAAAACTAGTTTTATTTAAAGTTATGGGGCTTTAAAGTAGCGCCTGTAACAATAATTTCGTTTCATGCGGCAGGCCAGCGTGTGACGTCACTTCACCTAGTCGACGCGGCGCGTATACACTTAGAATGTATAAATTCTTTGCCGTGCTGTTTTTGCGCCGCCCGTGTCGTGTTTTGTTTATTATAATAATGGCTGAGGCTAAAAAATATGCCTACTTATATTGTTTTGTCCCTATGTGTCAAAGCACGACAGTTAAAACGCCTAATAAACATTTTTTTTGTGTAAATTATCAATTTTAGGTAAATTATCCCTTTATCCTTTTACAAAATGTTCTTCCGTTATGTTAAAATAAAAATTACACTACATATAAATATTCAACAAGCAGCTGTACGTAAAATATCTACAAGTAACGCAAACGCTCCGATGCGACGATCTCGACTAAGGTGAAATGACGTCAAAGGCCCAAATCGTTCCGCGCTAAAATACGTAATAATGTGTTTCTCGATCATTATTGACGGATTTCAAAAAAAAATCACTGGTGTATTAGTTTCGATCTATATTTCAATTCTATTAAGTTAAATATAGCATTATCAACACATGAAACTTCTCCATTCCACTCATCTCTGCATTACCACCGGAGTAGTTATGAATAATCATGCATTATTACTAGGTCACATACGAACATGCATCTATTTAAACGAAAGTTTTAAATCGTGTTTCTGAACGCAACTTAAAGTGACATTTGGTTGACGATTTAGGTTTTCAACCATTCATAGCCAAAGCTCAATAAATAAAAAAAAAAGTAATAATAATATCAACCAATATTAATTATCAATATTTGTTATTGTTTGTTTACAAATGTTTGGTTTTTATTTTAGAATTAGCTGAGTTAAAAAAAGAAAGAAAAAGGGTTCCAAGAAAAGTGTACTAAAAAGGGTTCCAAGATTTTTTTGCAAACCTTACTTTTCAAGCGACATTTGACAGGTGGAGGTCATTGGCTTTCCTATTCTTATTTGAATCCCACTATACTAAAAATGCAGAAACGCAATTTTGAAATCTTGACTACTACAGACTACATTTCATCTGTAGTCCAAAAATAATGCCAAATAACAATTCAAGCTCATTGCAGTCTGCTGCCAATTAACCGTCGCATCGTTGGGACTGCACACCAATTGTTCCATTTGTAATCGGACTGCACGGTAGATAGACAGTTTCTTTGCAGTCTCAATTGCATGTTGCTAACTGCAGGTTAGCAACTGCATTCTGGCAGTCGAGAGTCCGTCCGTCTGTCTATAGAGCCTTAACCTTATTATTAAGGTGCTGTCCGACGGCCTGTGTCGTCGCAGGCGCGGCCTCGCCGCGCAGGTTTGCCAAGCGTATGAGAACTAGTAACGTTTAAGATTAAGCAGTCTATACATGACACTGGGTAAATAGAAAACTCGTATACTTTGTGATGGCATAATAAAACTGTACTTTCTTAGCCGATCCTTTGTGGACTGGATGTTTATACTTTCTGATAATATTTTTGGTTTGTGTACATGACACAAATCGTCAACATTGTTCGAATCTCATATCAAAGTGTACGAGATTTCTATTTACCTAGTTACATGTATAGAGACTGCTAAATCTCAAACGTTCGAATTCTCATACGTTTAGCAACCCTGCGCGGCGCGGCCACTCTTGCTACAACACAGGCCGTCGGACAGCACCTTTACTTTTAAAGAAAGGTCATTAAACTTTACAAAAATGTTGCAGGATTCGGTTACGTTCCACAGAAACCATGGTTGGTACGCGGCACTATACGTGACAATATTATTTTTGGGAAGCCTTATGATGAGACCAAATTCCGGACCATCGTTGATGCTTGTGCACTAACAGGTAAATTTATTTGATTGTTATCTACAAAACTACTTTTTTATCCAAGTTATATTAGGAGAACTTAGATGGCGCAGTGGTTACTCAACCGTTTCAGCTACGACACTATCGATCACAATGCGCAGTCACAGTATATTTGACCAAATATACACAGTCTTAATATTTAGCATCTTCGTTAGCACTCACAATTTGCACTTAACCAACGTGGACGAATCATTGTCTTTGTCCGTATTCCGTCCATAGGAAATGTCTATGTGCATGCGGAGTGTGAACATGAAAAGTTTAAGAATGTTTGATTGATAGATATCACGGTGTATCAGAAGTTTAATAAATTATTGTAATCAAAAAATCTACAACATTATTTAAGATGTTTAAATCTAAAGAAAATATAACTAGAAAAAAATCCACGCGGACCAGGCAGCAGACGGGACTCGAACCCGCACCCTTCGCAATCCGGGCGAATGCACTGACCAATTATGCTACCGCGGCCCTCACGGACCGCGTCGAAATTCTTCTAGCCATTCTTAAGCTGCAAGGCAGCGCCATCTCTTCGCATTATAGGTAACCCACAATGTCAAATGAATACTTTTACAAGTATTAAACATTTGAAAGAAGAAATAGCAATTATTGTTATAATTATTATTATTTTTTAAAGCATGTAACTGCTTGATGTTTAAATCTAAAGTTCGAGTCCCGTCTGCTGATTTTTTTCTAGTTATATTTTCTTTAGATTTAAACATCACGCAGTTAAATGATTTAAAAAATAATAAAAATTATAAGATGTTTAAGTTTGCCAGGTATATTATAATAAGTGCATAGTTAAGTATTAAACGTATGGTAGGTACAATTATGTCATAACAGTATTGATGTTGTTGCACATTAGGTATGCGTATATCGGATTGGAAACAGATCGACACCAAACGAACACATTTGAGTTCTCGAACCTCTCGAGCTAGCGTACTCTTTGTTCGGATTTCCCCACTGCATTAAACACTAATCAGAGTGTACTAAAAAACAAACGATACAAAAAATAAACGACAATCGTCGTGTATGTGTAATGTATTTTTATACTTTCGACCTTGTTTCTACATTTGGACGGCGGATTTGGTCTCGCTTATCATTTTTATTTATCATTTTAGGCTCACAGCTACGTAACGATTCAATATATCTTTAAATTTTAATTTATCGTTGTTAATTCGCAATCCCCGTGGTTATTTTTCTTTTTACGTCTCTTCTACAACTGATTGAAAGTCCGTGGATAGTGTACGCCTAGCCGTAAGCTCTGCGTTACGTTGGCCTCTCATCATAACACAGTATGCGGCATGCGATGCCGGTTCGCTGCGGTGTGCGTCACGGGTTGACAATGGCTTTGTTCGAAAATAGTTTAATAGAATTAAGCTACGGCAAAATAAACTGTCCAGTTCACCGTAGAGACGGTAAGCGCTGCGTCGTGCGTTTGAGCCTCACACCGCAGAGTTGTGCGTTACGATCAAAAGACCAAAGCTTCAGATATCCGTAAGAGTGACGTTGCTGTATTAGATATACCGTAGATGATGATGCACTGCTCCTGTTACCTACTTGCGTACAGTAAGTACCTATAGCACAAACCAATATCGAATTCGAATAGTGGTATTCGATATAATCAAATATCAAGAAGTTTTGTATGGAAATTTGAACAGCGCTACAATAGACGTAACGAGAATTAAAAAAAATACAAAACTTGACATTTGCCGCGTATCGAAATCGAATTTGACTATTCGGATGCGTTATTGGCTTGTGCTAAGAGCACAGTTAAGGGCTGGTGTTCGACTAGGTGATAGAGATATGACTAGGTGACACATGATATCAGATTCCCATTTGGTATTCACCAATATCTTAGCCTCGTGTAAGCAAGATACGAGTGTTCTGTACAATGTATTGTCACGGTTACCCTGGTCTACTAACTAAGGTCAGAAATGAGACAACAGAATACCATGCAAAATAATTATTTTAATAAAAAAACTCGACCCGGGGGAAGTAAAAATTAATCAGGTGGGGTTGAGCACTTAATCCACACAAGTTTCGTCGGTTCAGGTACTCTCCTGTGTAACGCCGGGTAGTTGGTAATCCCGGGAGTCGCGTTATGGAAACCGCTGGCGACTAGAGGCTGCAGTAACGGGTAGCTGAGCCCGGCAGAGAGCAGTCTCGTGTGGTGAAAGTAGGGGCTGTGGGGTGATACCGGCGAAATTGCTATCCCGAGCGTTGAACCATGGAACGCGCCATTAAAATACAATTACAAGCGGTCCAGTACTATTTTGCGAACATCCACGGGCACTGCGTCGTAAAAGAAAGTACCTAATTGTAGTAGTTGCCGTGGAATCATCACAATCAGAAACGGAGATTACAATTTATATAATATAATTGATTGGATTGATAATGAAATTTACGTATATTTAACAATTATTGAAATATGAGGGTGGAATTAAACGACGATGAAATTTTATGTAGCAAAAATATGCAAAATCAATATAAATGTGATTTATATTAATATGCATAATGCATGTTAAACACAAACATTGGGTTTGAAAATGATTTCTTACACTAATAACTACTTTAACTGCCTGCGACATTAAAATTACCACTTACCCAGTTTCGGGGCGGTCGACACTCACTTCACAATAATTTATGGTATTATTTATTTGAGGAACGCTTAGCGACGATCACGAAAAATATTATATTATGGTTACGAGTTTTAAAGATAATTAAATTCTTTTCCCGTATTAGAGACCACTAACATATGTGACGTACGTTCACTCAAATTAGATCGAGAAAAATGAATGGCGGGCGGCCGGACATGCAGTTTTTGCTTAGCGAGAACAAAAGATCCTGCTTGGAGCGCTAAAATGTTGCATCGCGCGAGTTTACGTATACAAATCCGCTTGATGAATTTATGTTGCATTTTAGTGTCTGTGAATAGTTTTATTATTGTAAATAGCCAATTTGATTATTAATATTATTATGATTTGTAAATAATTTAGTTATAATAAAATTGTGTTTTATTTTTATAAGTAGTTTTTAGTGTAGAATTAAATCTAATAGTGTTATTATTTAGTTTGAGGCATTGTAAATATTAAATTTAAGAGTATTTTAGGGTAATAATATGAATTATGTAACGCATAACGTTACAGTATGCAGTCGCGTTAACAGAACTATATTTATATAATGTAATACGAAGCATGTGAGTCATTTGGGTGGAAATTAAAGTACAATTTGATATGTAGACAAATACCTACTGTTGGTCTTATTATTATCATTTATAATATTTTTTTTTAAAGTTTGTCGTCTAAGCCAGCGATTACTCGACATCACAGTTTTTATATTTTTTTTATCGCCCTCGCTTTACCTTATTTGCATATTTATTGAAATAACAGTGTAAATAATAAAAACTATAAATAGCCAAAACTGCATCTTGTTATTTAATTTTGAAACGTTCCTTTTCTTCGCGATAGCCACTTCAGCAACTTTTGGCCATATCACCAATTTTTCTGTACTTAGCCATTATTTAGCCTTCTGACAATATATGTGCAGGGGGCCAATCGCCTAACGGAAATGCTTTGGAAAACGCTAACGCTTACGATTTTATTTGTTATTTCTAGCCGCCTGAGGTATTCAAATGCCTCGCGCTCTTTCTTTTTCTTTTGCATTGGTAATAACAATATTAATAAAATTGAGCGTGAGGTATTCGAAAACCTCAGGCGGCTAGAAATAACAATATAAAATCGTAAGCGTTAGCGTTTTCCAAAGCATTTCTTTAGGCGATTGGCCCCCAGGTTCGGTAAGCTATAAATAATATAAAAATTCGATTGTCAGAACTGCACCTTGTTATTTTAACTCAAAACTAGATTCGAAACGTTGCTTTCCGTCGCGATAGCTGCTTCAGCAACTTCTGACTATATCATCAATTTTTATGTACTTAGCCATTATTAAGACTTCTGACAATTTATATACAGGTTCGATAAGCAACAAATAATATAAAAATGCATTTGTCAGAACTACACCTTGTGGTTTAAATTTAAACAATTTATTTACAACTTTGTCGACTTCTGACAGTCTTTAAGCCCCGACTTGGACTTCTGACAATAATTTTCCTAGATTCCTACAGTTAAAAACTATAACTCTACCAAATTTTAGAGCTGCACCTTATCATTTTTTTCTTATTGAAAATTTACGATTTTGACCGCCCACCCACGCCTTCCGCCCCTGGCGAGAGTTCTGACGGGCCTCGCTCTGTACTTATAAGCTACCAAGGAGAGGTTATATATATAATTCGTTACTACACCTTATCAGTTCACTTTTTCGTAGCCAGCTCTCGGGCTATAATCTTTTCAGGGTACCGTGGTACGCTATTAAGATACTAAACCTCAGTTGTCCATTCGATCGTCCGTCTTATCAGCGGGCTGTCTCTTTTAAACCATTATTATGTTGACATTTGAAATTTTCAGGTATTGTGTTTCATAAAAAATAAAGGCTACTCCTTGATAATCGTTGTAACTAAAATATTAACACATGTGTTAGTTCTACTCCCTCTTGGCTGGCTATTTTAGTTCATTCACCCTAGTGGATACATCGACTGCTCTGATTGATAAACGAATGAATAAACACCCATACAAATTCAGATAAAGGAGATTGCTCAGCTTCCATACATGTTTGGCCTAAAGACCAATAATCATGAAAAATTGTCTCCTAGATTCGAAATTATATATAAATTACTGTAGAAACGAATATTACTGACGGACACCCCTAAGAAATTCTATAAACCATATACACTGAACATATTAAAATAATAAAAACAAATAAGTTATATAGTAAACTAGGGAAATCAAGCCAAGTACCGAAATTATGGATTAGATTCAGGTATATAGAGCATGTAGATTAACAGATAGTTGCCTGTTTTTAAAGTTAATGCATAAGAGTAACTTTTAAAATCAGGTGTCATCTATGCATTTCCGGTTATAACAAGGTATTCTGTGACAGAAACTGTGTGATGGATTGTGAATGAGCCACAGATTAGAGAGAATTTTTAAACTCTCGTTAACCAAAGAAAGCTAAGAGATTTAGGTTATATAGCGATCAGTAGCTTCATTATTTTTGTTATGTTTTTAATATAACCATATTTTAGATTTTTAGTGTATCACCTTATAATTTTATTTATTTATTGTCAGGCAACGTAGGCCCATAGATAGATACCTTAAAGTCTAACATATATACAGATTATAATGTGTTTATGGAGGTGTTTGGCGAAAAATGTATAGAAATAGACTTTATGAGGTCGCCCAATATAAATACTACTCTTTGATGCTTAGAGCATTTATCTTTGATTTCCCTACCATCTATAATAATTGTCTGAGCACATTTGCATGTAGTGAAAATGATAATATAGTTGTGGATATTAATACCACAGTGGAATAAAAAAAATGATTTATTGTATCGATCTTTACAAAATAGATTTGTTTTAATGTTATATAAACAACTTCTATCAGTCTTTGGCTGAATGCTACTACACCCATATAAAAATGATTCGTATGTTTTCCAAACCGGTAAAATTAAAAGTCCTTTTTAAAGTAAATATATTATACAAAGGTGTCCGTTGAAATCTAATGACACTAAATTAAATTATAAATTACGCCAAGAATTACCGTGTATGTCAATATTTTTTGTGCATTTGGGCCAATTTGAGCAATCTCCTTTAGCTACATTAGAAACAGCAATTTAGTTTTAAATTTAATATTTTTATTGCAGAGGATTTAAACATTTTGGGATGGAATGCGTTCGTCGGGGAAGGAGGTTGTACGTTGAGCGGTGGTCAGCGTGCCAGGATATCTCTAGCGAGGGCCGTATATCAGGAAAAACAAGGTAATATATACCTATATAGACAAGAGAGGTGGAAAATGCGAACTTGAATTGTATTACTCGTCGAGGGGAAGTTACTCCACTCACGGAAGACTACATTAAACAAGTGAATAAAAAACACTACATTTAGCGAAAAAACAGCCCGCTACCCTAGCCTTGGACTAGTTGTTTTGTCTCTGATTATTAATCCTGTTATTTATAAACGAAGAATAAGCTTACTCCATGTTTTGTTTTGTCATGTGATACGTTTTTCCTCGTAGTGTAGTTGCTGGACGACGTCCTATCTTTATTTTAAACAAGTTTCAACCTTATGTAATCGTGATGTGGTGTCTCTCTTAATGTACTTGTTGGACGATGTCCTATTTATGTATTGACCAAGTTTCAGCTTATTAAGGCTCGTATTACAGAATGACAACTACGTGTTCATCTTTACTTGAGTACAGTTAGAAATGGATATCGCTATGTGCTACATATAGCTGTGTACAGACCGCCTGACTCAAACAAACATTATTTTATTAACGAACTATGTAATATCTACTTATTCTAAAAAAAATGTGTGTGTCAGCTCCGACGCACGACCGGATTTTACACTCTAAAAACGATTGTCTTTGAACAGACACAAAACAAAATCAAGTCCGAAGAAGTCGGTTACAAGTAGAGATACCTCAGGAATCGTCCCATGGTTTCGACTATCATAGGTTCCATGTCACACATTTTATCATCTAACATCAGCGATATTCATCATATATTTTATTATGTATTTCTGGAAACACACAATTTCAAAAATATCACTCACTAGTCATCATTTTGTAAGTATGTATTATAATTCCATCTGTACTGAAAATCACTATTCCAGAGTGCTGGACACTTACCGGCATTTCTCTATATTCTGTTACTTACTTATTTCATTAATTTTGCTCCGATTTTATCTATTTTTAGTTTATTTATTATATTGACATTTGTGACAACTTAATGTTTTTTATCCGTTGTCATGGCTAAAAGTGAAAGGTGCGCAGATGAGGTTGCGCACAAAAACGTAACGAGGTCATTAATGTCATTCATCGATAGATTTTACTCCTCACATTTTTCTCATACCGGGCCCCTTATATATGCAAATCGATTCTTAAGGAGTAAACTCCAATAACTACATATTAATTGGTGATATTAACTTAGATTTTAAAAAACAAACAACGTAATTAACGAATATTTGTATAAACTTAGTATATTGGGTCTTGAATGTGGTATAAGTCAGTACACACGCATTGAAAAATATGGGAATTCCATATCGCGATCATACATCGATCACATATTTGTGCGAAATGTTAGCGGCAATGAACGAATACACAGGTGTAATAAACAGCGCTCCGGCCGACCACTGCATAACTGGCTGTGCGTTTCTGAACGCATACAGCGATAGTACACGTGACAAACAGCTGATAACCGTAATTGACTACAAAAAACTCCGCACCGAGTTGTGTAGTATAGACTGGAGCGCACCGTTATCTTTTGATGATCCTAATGAAATTGTAAATTATATTCATATGAATTTTGAGCAAGCTTATGATCATTGTAGAAAAAGTATTGTTCAAAATAATACAAAACGAAGGCTTTGCCCATGGGCTGATCAGAAGCTAGTTAGTATGTGCAAAAAACGTGACGAACTTTATCGGATATGGATTTCTGAGCCCTTTAATTTTAAAAATAAGCTGTTGTATAGTAAATATAGAAATAAATATACACAATACATAAAAAATACATATATAAAGGAGTAAGGAGGAGGAGAAAATATGTAATAATTTTTCGAACACTAAAAAAAATTGGCAAATTATTAATAGTTTGACAGGGAAGATAGTAAAATGTATTGACAATATTATTCTAAAAACATTCAAACTTGATCCAATTACCCTGGCCACCAATTTTGTAAGGAGATTTCATAAAAATACGTCAACAATGTGTAACCCTTGTAACAAAATGTTACTAAATCCGTCGTCATATCAAATTGAGCCTAACAAAACAATAAGAATAAAGAAGGCCCATATACATGATATCGGCACTATTATTAACAAATTAAGTGTTAAATAAAGACCTGGCCATGATGGTATTAGAATAAAAGACATCAAATCAAACTCTGAAATGTTGGTGCCAATAATAACACATTTAATCAATAGGTGCTTATGTACATCAATTTACCCAGATTTATTAAAAATAGGCGTAATACGTCCTATTTATAAAAAAAGGTTGTCGCACTGATTACGTCAATTACAGACCTATCACTATACTCTCGTGCATAAAAAAAATAATAGAAAGATATCTGAGCAATCAACTTAATAAATACATAATTAATAATAATATCATTAATCCTAAGCAATATGGATTCCAAAGAAATAAAAGTACCACGCAACTTCTCCGTACTTTTTCAAATCAAGTCAATGATTTTCTTAATTGTAAAATGCATGTGTTTGTAACCTTTATTGACTTTAGCAAGGCGTTTGATGTTTTAAATTATGAAGTCCTCTTTGACAGGTTGTCGCGGAGTGGTTTACAGGGCCCCTTCTTAAAGCTTCTTAAAAACTATCACTTAAACCGATATACTACAGTAAAAATAGCTAACAATTACAGTGAATTAATGCCAACACATCAGGGCACGGCACAGGGATCGATATTAGGGCCTACCGAGTATTTATTATATGTCAATGACATGTGTAATGTCATAAAGAAGGGTCATGTTTACCAATTCGTAGATGATACATGTCTACTGGTGGCCAACAGGAACATAAATCTTGCACAAATCGATATGCAGGAAAGCTTCGATCAGTTATGCAAGTGGGCACATGATGTAGGATTGGTGATAAATAGGTAAAAAACAAATATAATTCACATACACTCATCGCAGAACAGGACACTTGACACACCGACCATCCTGGCTCACAGTCATCAATGCCTGCATAGTGATACGAATGTTTGCTCATGTCCAACTTTAGAGGTAGTAGAAAGTCATATGTATATTGGTCTTATTATCGACAATAGATTAAACTGGGGATATCATAAAAATTATGTATGTTCAAAACTAAGGTCTATTCTAAGCAAATTTGCTGTGCTTAAATATTAGCTTCCATACAGAACCCTCAGATTAAAGTATATGGCCCTAGCTGACTCAGTTATTGGCTATGGCTTGAGCAGTTATGGTTTGACATATGATACATATTTGAAAGATATATACAGATTACAAATAAGAATCTTAAAAACTATTGTTCCAAAATATATTAAAAATAAATATAAAGAAAATTATGGTGAGTTGTTTAACCATTGTAAAGTATTGAGTGTATATGATAAAGTCAAATTTTGTATTTTAACAGAATATAACAGTACACATAATCTACAGACTCACCATCGTCCAGAATACTTGCGTAACCTTAATTATAAAAAATATCTCCTACCGAAAACCAACAATGTATATGGTTCGAGAACACTAAAATATGTTATTCCTAAATTTCTAAATGAAATGCCCCCCCAGTATTCAAGAATTGTATATGAAAGATAATTGTAAACATAAACTTAAAAAATATTTGTTAGAGCGAATCGCTGTAGACAGATAAACCCATGTTTAAGGGTTTTTAGATACAGCCATTGTATATCAAAATGTAATTGATTTAATTGAATAAATAAATAAAAAATACATCCCTTTCTAACTATGCTCAAGACTAGACCTACCACTCAGAATCTTCCTATAATACGGGCCTTAGTCACGTGATACTGTTTCTCTCGTTGTACCTCCTTGACCACGTCCTATCTACATGTTTCAAAGAAGTTTCAACCTTGTGTGATCGTTATACGGTTTCCCTCGTGTGCCTCCTAGACCACGTCCTATCCAGCCTGGGGCCAATCTCCTAACGAGATTGCTATGGCTATCGCTATCGCTTACGATTTCATTTTTTTATTTCTGACCGTTGAAGGTTTTGAAATGTCTCGTGCTCGTTTTTTTTCTTTTGCATTGGTAATAACAATATTAACGAAAATGAGAGTAAGGTATTTGAAAACCTTCGGGGGCCAGAAATAACAAAATGTAATCGTAAGCGATAGCCAAAGTCATCAATACCGTTAGACAATTGACCCCCAGGTGGCGTGGTGGCTCAGCACATGATGCAGCGGTGTATCTTGGGAGTGTTGCGTTTTAGCTTATTTAGTCGCGTGATAGTTTTTCTAGTTCTTATAGTAAACAACATCATATCTATTTTAGTAAGAAATTTCAACTTTTATGCAATCGTGATACCGTTTCCCTCGTAGTGTACTTGTTGGACGACGTCCTATCCGGCCTGGACGGCGTGGTGGATCAGCACGTAATGCAGTGGTGTATCCTGGCAGTGTTGCGTTTTAACTTATTTAGTCGCGTGATAGTTTTTCTCTTATAGTGAACAACATCCTATCTATTTTTGAAAGAAATTTCAACCTTTATGCAATCGTAATACCGTTTCCCTCGTAGTGTACTTATTGGACGACTCCTATCCATCCTGGACGGCGTGGTGGATCAGCACGTGATGCAGCGGTGTATACTGAGAGTGTTGCGTTTTAGCTTATTTAGTCGCATGATAGTGTTTCTCTCATAGTGCACCACATTCTATGTTTGAAAGAAATTTCAAAGTTATGTAATCGTGATACCGTTTCCCTCGTAGTTTACTTGTTAGACGACGTCCTATCCGGCCTGGACGGCGTGGTGGCTCAGCACGTAATGCAGCGGTGTATCCTGGGAGTGTTACGACGCACCACACGCGTACTCGTCACGCATTCACACCGCCATCTAGCGAAGACCAATTACATACTCGTCATGCACGAAGGACAGATCGTCAGGCAAGGTTAGTATTGCATCGAATCTTTGAATGATGATGCCTGGATGTCATATTTGTATGGGTCGCAAAAATGCTCTTTCAGTGCCTGAGAGATAGGCTAATTCCATATCGCTCCTATATACAAATAAAGAAACATGAGAAATTTTGTTATGGTATGATTATAATAACTTCTACACTATAACAAACAACTAATAGCTGCACTCAGAGACAAGACGTATTTAACTTTCATTTAAGTATTAGTAAAGTTGATACTGCCACTTGGACGTGGGGCTGTAGATGAAGTCAGGATATGCTCAGTCGAGTAATGCTTTGGTATCGCAAGCATCTTAGGCACCACTCGTTTAGCATTATACTTTTTTGACACCCTTATTACAAAAAGGAGAACACTTATAGAATTTATAGGACATATATGAGAGAAGCCGTTAAAGATGTTTGATTGAAATGTTTACCTACCTATACTTACTTGATAAGATACCAATCATGGCTACTATTGCATGTACAGTCTCTTCCGATTTATATTTTTTCAAATGGAAAAATTATGTGTATATCTGCGTGGGTTTCTAGGTCCTCCTGAGATAGTACTGAACAATTTGGAAGACTTCATGCCGAGTGAAACCGAATCTATAGGTGAGGAACCGCCGCGGGAAATCCCTCCGCGACCCTCAACGGATTCGGAAGACAGCACCAGTAGAAATAGTTTAGACGAAGAGGTTAGCGATAAAACACTTATCTTATTTCATAGATCAAGTCAAGAATGAATTATATTCTATAGTTATTTCAAACTATAATTGTTTTCAGGAAACAATGTCGAAGGGCACTGTTGATTGGTGGGTGATTGGTATGTATCTTCGCTCGGTCGGTGCCTTCCTTTCCATCATTATTTTAATGTCCCTGATTTTAATGCAACTCTCACAGAATTTCACTTTCATTTGGCTGACTTTCTGGATTAAGAGTAGAGCCTCTAATAATTCTACGAATGTGACTGAGATTAGATTTGATGAAGTGCCACATGAAAATACTACTATATTGGACCATGGTATATTTTCGATCGATAATATTGTGCATAAAGTGATTAACAGCACCCGGAATATAATTAACAATTTCTATGGGGACAAACCATATGTTAACAAGTCTATTGAACTACCTACACCACCGGTAAGAGCGGAGGATGATATCCAACGGCCTGTATTTACGAACAACTTTTATCTAGAAATGTATTTCGCGTTGGCTGGACTGAATTTGGTGTTCACTATTATGAGAGCATTCTTATTCGCATATGGTGGAGTGAAAGCTGCAACAAGAATACACAAATCATTATTAAAATCTATTATTAAGGTACGTTTTGCAAAAGAGTCTCTTCAATTTATAAGTAAGTTTACTTATTACATTATTCTGAAATTATTTTGTAAATTTATTTCTATTCTATTCTAAATTGCAGGCAAAGGTGAAATTTTTCGATATTACGCCATTGGGACGCATCCTCAACAGATTTTCGTCAGACACATACACAGTCGATGATTCCTTACCCTTTATTCTGAACATACTTCTTGCTCAAGTTTTCTCACTTATTGGTAAGACAGGATGTTCTAATAACAAATCGTTGAAATATAAAAATGCGATATAAACTTTCAGTTTTTAGGGTTCCTTACCTCAGAAAGGAAAAAACGGAACCCTTAAAGTATTACTTTGTTGTCCGTCCGTCCGTCTGCCAAGACCATTTTTCTCAGGAACGCGTGGAGGTATCAAACTGAAATTCATATCTAACACTCATGTCTACTGTCCTTTGGAGCTGTGAAAAAATCAAACATCTAAGCCAAAGCAATCAAAAGATACAGACGTTTATGCCAGCCGTTTATGCCGCAAATTTTCGAAACTCGCACGGGAGCCAAAATCTACAGGGTACTTCCCGTGAACTTAGAATCTTGAATTTTGGTACGAAGTAACGTCCTATAGCACAGATAAAGAAAAAAATGCGAAAACCGTAATATAATAAATAATATTTTTGAAAATTTTAAAGTTACTACCTCTTTTCTCATGAACGCGTATAGGTATTAAATTGAGTTTGTACGGAACCCTCGGTGCGCGAGTCTGACTCGCACTTGGTCGGTTTTTTTTTGCTTATTTGAAGGATATGCCTTCTAATGTACTTGTGCTTAGGTGCCGTAGTGGTGACATTGTATGGGCTGCCGTGGCTTCTGGCTGCGGTTTTACCGCTGTCATTGATATATTACCGACTACAACGGCGGTACCGCGCCACTTCGCGGCAGCTCAGGCGATTGCAGAGCACTACATTATCACCTGTATACACGCACTTCAGCGACACGCTTGATGGTAAGTACGCCGTCAATCTTTCGTTATTATGTAAGAGATGTAAAAGTGTTTCTTTTTTATTCAAAATCCGGTAAAAGGAACTATCAACATTTTATTAACATCTATTAAGTTTATAATTTTTTTTTTTTTTCATTATTTATATTGCAGAATAAAATTTATCAAGGCAGTGCAACTCTAATTTGATTTCAACTGGTAATATTTATCGAGAATGAATGCAATAGTATGTTAAACTTAATGGTCGGCTGGACTGTCCTACCAATTACAGACAGAATAGTGTTTTGACTAGAATTCTGAGCACTTATAATAGAAAGTTCTCACATGTGGACCCATTCATTAACTTGAAAATACATTCTAATCAAATATTATTAGCTCATTATTTTATATTGATACTAGCGGACCCGACAGACATTGTCCTGTCTACACGTCTTTAATTTGAAAATTTGACACTGCGATGGTAGCGCCGTCTGTCGGATCCAATGTAAAACATTCCTAATAAATTAAAAATTAATTAAAAAAACATTGTCCAGCGGACAAAATTGTGAATCTAAACCATTCTCAGATCCCCTTGAACACGCACAAAAAATTTCATCAAAATCGGTCCAGTCGTTTAAGAGAAGTTCAGTGACATACACACTCACAGAAGAATTATATATATAAAGATACAGTGATAGGCTTGTGGTATAATAACCTTTGGTAAATTGTTTACTTAAACTATAAACATGATACAATAACTTTAAACAGTAGTCAGAGGTATGCGAATGTTTTATATCCCAAACTTTAATTTTATATGTTTTTTTTTAAAGTGAAAACTTCTTTAGCGGCGTTGTACACTTTTTTTGTAATGGGTAAAAAATGTTCACTCATGGGGTCATTTCTACTCAAAAAAAAACGACGGGTTGCACTCCGCCGGCAGAAGTGAAAACTTGAATATGAACGTTGTGCATTTTTGATATTTTGGAATGGTTAGGGAATAATTTTGCACGAATTGCTTTAATTATCAGTATAAAAGTACTATCATTTATGAGGTAGAATACAATATTTATTAAACTACTTGACCGTCACTGAAAGCTTTATATTGAGATAGCACTTCCGTTTCCCGTCGAATTACCATCAGTTTCCGTACTTTTATTCACCTTGTATCCGGTCCAGTGGCGACACCTGGCAGAAGCGCGGCCATTTTTGTTTTCCTAAGTTTTGACAGCGCCATATTAACTCATTGGCGTTCTGACTCCCGTCGAAGCAACACGTCAAAGAGTAGTATAAACAACACGTCCTCAATCTGAGCGATCGTTGTGAGATTTTAAAGGTTTTATTATTATAAGTGATAAAACTGTAAGTAAAACTATTTTATTTTAACGGTTTTTGCCGTTCGTGTTATTCCAAATAGGTACTTTACGTGTTAAAAGTGAAGGAACCGTAAGTAAAACTATTATTCTTTTTGATAGTTTTTGCAGCCCTTGTGATAAGGGATATTTAAAACAAATATGTTAAGTTGTGCAATACGCTTGTTTGAAAAAGTAATAATAAGCCGTGAGTAAAACTTGACGGCAATTCAAGGTGCGTTTTGTTTAAAAAATTAAAGTACCTTCATTAAAGTAAATTTTGCAATACTTTACGTCTGTCTTGGTCGTTTATCATAAAAACTATTTTAAGAGTGTTTTCTCTTGGTACTCAAGTAATGTTTCCGTATAAGTAAATTGGTAAATGTATTACAAAATACTTAATTAAATTGATTTACAGTTTAGAGTGAAGGAATATCGGTCAATATTGACGTTTCAGCCGCCGACTGACTGGCATTATTGGCAAAAACAGCAAGATGTGTGGATCTAGTCATTATTGTTCTTCGAACAGCTGCAGTAATAATTGGTTGAATTTGTCGTTTTCTGGTATAACGAAAGCGGCATCGCTGCCTCAAGAAAAATAAGCGAGCTTGATATTCCAGCCCTTTTATTAAAAGATTGTTCGAGGGGTAAGTGAACTATGTACAATCTTAATAAGGTATTTCTAATGTCGATATGCCGTTTTCTGAACATGGCCAGCTATCAATATCTAAATGCTTATGAATAAAAAGTTCTAACATTTTCACTGACCAATACACGTAATAAAAATTCTCATATGAGTCGTGTGACTAAACTAGGATAAACGAACGCTCTGTTCGAAAGACATTCAACGTTTATTTTAAACGATATGCTGATGTAAATTAAAAATTATAATCATAGTCCAGGTTTTATCAACCTAGAAACAAACAACGAGGTAAAGAAGTATGATGATAATTTATGATATATCACGTTCCTGACTTTAATTTTCTTTCAGCAATTGCATATTTCTAAAATAAAAATGAATCATTGCGGGAAGGCACCTGCTCAGTTAATTTTAATAACGAAAGTGATAAGATAACAGAATCGGGTCTTATGTCTTTTACAGCTAGCACAAAGCTAAAAAGTAAAAACTAAAGCACTGCTTAAGAAGTTAGTGATCTCTGTGATGAAGCACCACTTAATAAGATACCATCTATGAGGTTGTTTTTCTCGTATTAAGTAAGTATTTGTCATGGATTTAAGTGATTGACATTTCATCAACCTAATGAGCAACTCGCGCAGAGGCAAGTGATATTCATAAGCTTCATCTCATGAAGCCCAAGGCCTGTCAGGACATGCCCTCCCATGGCGTACCTACACATATGAGTACCGGTGGCAAATCACCCTCGCGGGGTGCATATTATATATAATTTGTTTCCACTACGTGGAATCTTATTAAATGCGTCTAATGCCTTGCCTACATATACGAGTACCGGTGGCAAATCACCCTCGCGGGGTGAATATTATGTACAATTAGTTTCCACTACGTGGAACCTTATGAAATGCCTCTAATGCCTTGCCTACATATACGAGTACCGGTAGCAAATCACCCTCGCGGGGTGCATATTATATACAATTTGTTTCCACTACGTGAAACCTTATGAAATACCTCTAATGCCTTGCTTACATATACGAGTACCGGTAGCAAACCACCTTCGCGGCGTGCATATTACCAAAACTCTGATGACCGTCCCTCGCCGGGGCATATTATGTATAATTTGCTTCCTCCGTATGGAACTCATTATGAATAAGGACTTGCCTTCCATGGCTTGCCTACACATACAAGTATCAGTAACAAAACATCGTTGATAGAGAAATATCCTCATCAATCTTATAATCGCCCTTGTGGGGTCATATTACACATAATATATTGTTTCCATTACGTGAATATCAATATATGTTCTCCTTAGAACATGTTCGCTTATGGAGTTCGTACTATTATGTAAGCACCGGTAACATACGACACTCGAGTGGAGCAAATTATGCATAATTTAACATGTAGTCTATTCGTGATTCATAATTTATTTTTGTGACCATGGGGTCTGTAAAAGTGTAAACGATTCGAAACGTTAAAAATAAGTAAATTGAAAATATAATAAATGTCGCTTGACATAATTCATTACTTCCATCGCGTGGAAATCCATACATCAACGCAACGCAACACACCCGCTCATGGCTTGCGTACACACATAAGTATCGGCTATAAACTACCCTCTTAATAGACTATAAAGATCGAACATCGAATGTTGACGTACCCCGTTGGGAAGTGCAATGTACGTGGTTTTTAAGGTGTCGCATACTCCGAGGTCTTGGGTTCACCCCGGTGGGGCAAATCATTGTATGATAAATGGGATAGTCGTTAGCCCATAACACAAGCCTTTCAATGCCCATTATAAGGCTAGGCTAATTGGTGTGAAGTGTTGACTCGATCACTACGGTTGTTCTACCGTAATATATAATACATTTCAAAAGAAAAAGGAATATCGAAACAATTAATGTTTTTAAAAACAAAATAGTGCAGGTAAGTTGATAAATTGGGAGCTCCATAAATAATTCTTAAATAAATTTAATGGTATCGCATGCCATTCAAAAGCTTGTTTATCTAAATCCAATATATATCAAACTCCAATCTCAAGTGCAGTACACTATAAATATGTAAAGAATTCTAAGTTTTCTGCAATTTAAGGACTATCTGCCAGATAAATAGATGATAACATATTTTCTCTTGAAAATAACAAAAGTAAACCAAATGGGTTGCTCACTCTTTTGATCGCGTAATGAGAGAAACTTGCAATATTAAAAATGTCGTGTATGTGGTGTCTGAGGTGGCCAACATGATCATTTTGATATATAAGTGGTGCTATGTACTGAAGCAAGATTACACGATCTACCAAATTCTTGAAAGGTTTTGAAGATCATTGTATGCAATTATCCACTTTATGTTATTTTAGTAAAAAATACTGAAAACTGTTCTGTAGAAAGCGTAAGTTTAATATTACTTACGCTTTCTAACCTTGCCACAACTGTCTGGAATAAATATACTTAAAACCCTACGCATAGTACATGCACACCTCATGTAAGCTGTGTAAATTTTACAAATAACTAAATCTTTATTTAGTATTAAGTAATACATATAAATGACTCGGATCTAAGAACTGAAAAACAAAAGGAAAAATTACAATCAATTATAGATTCCAGGATGGCAAATGAATTTCATAAAATCTGGTCTGAACTTCGTAATAGCATAATTTATCACGGCAACCCAGCAACAATATAAAAACTATACCAGAGAATTTCGTTGTAAAAACGTAAACTTCAGAAGTTGATCGGTTTCAACATTTTTGTCATTCCGTGGGGTTGTATCAACCACTCCCTACTTCTAACAATAATTATGAATTCACTGCAATCGACCTTGCAATCACTTCCCGCCAATCTAATATGAAAGCTTGGGAAGTATAGTTGAAGAACACGGCTCTACCACTTAACTTCAATCTTCACTCCAATCAAATAGATATGCTAGCACTACGCTTTTCAACATATTCTACAAAGAGCGACAGCTCTGTCTTAAACAGCTATGAGATGGCTCGGAAACGCTGGCTTGCGTGTTTGCATTGGTCTAGGAACAAGAATGTTTATCGGAATAATCCCGCAAGTTGTGGACTCGGCTCTGAACTAACACGATTTTTGAGAGACTTATTCTTAACTCGTGACTTATCTTAAAATAAGTACCATTATTTTAAATAAGTCAGTAGTTTTTACATGATATACCAATGGATGATGAGTCTAATTACCTAAGCTCACCTGTCTTGGCAAACACATATATTGAAGTCGATTGTTTTTAAAGAATCAGTCCGTAACCTACTATTCTGTGTCTATAAGTTAACTTATTTCCTTTTCTTCAATAATGTACTCGTTACATCATAATGATCTGTTTCAAATACTTCGTCATATATGTTGTTCTGAACGTCATACGTTCAGCATGTGGTACACATGACTTGTTCCTACTTCAAATTATCCCGAATCATTGTATTTTTACCGACGAAGATGAGTTTAGCCTTGTTTTGGTTCAAAACAGGTGAAAGTAGTTAAAGACAATCCGATTGGTGACTTGTACCGAATAATGGTAATCGTAAGTGGGACCCTGATTTTTGGTACTTAAGTAAAAAATACAGTCTTGTAAAATGTAAGACTCAGTATCGAACAACTTTACATCTTTTTCTCGCGTTCGTACGCCTTATTTCTGATATACAAAGATACAAATGAATGCTACACAAGGAAGCGTCCGGTCATTAACAAAGCAAATATATGTAGAAGTGTATATATATATATATATATATATATATATATATACTTCGCGAGTTTTAAGCAAAGGAATATAGCGATCAGCTAATACATATGTTAAAGCAGCTTCGTAAGCTTGAAGAAATTAAAGGCGTGATTCAAATAATATTATTTGATTCATTTTTAAGCTTACTCGTTTCTTTATACAGTTTCATATAATCTGATAAATGTAATATTTAAATTTATCATAAATTGTCACATTGGCGTATATATCTATGTACGTGGCGATCACCAGGCGATAACAAACAGGTCTCAATATAAAGCTTTCAGTGACGGTCAAGTAGTTTAATAGCAGCATTTTACCTGAAATAAAATGCATATTAAAATACTTACCTCACTGAAAGCTTTCACTTTAAATTCTGCCTGGTGAAATAATTGAGCCAATGAGTTAATATGGCGCTGTCAAAACTTAGGAACACAAAAATGGCCGCGCTTCTGCCAGGTGTCGCCACTGGACCGGATACAAGGTGAATAAAAGTACGGAAACTGATGGTAATTCGACGGGAAACGGAAGTGCTATCTCAATATAAAGCTTTCAGTGAGGTAAGTATTTTAATATGCATTTTATTTCAGGTAAAATGCTGCTATTTATGGCGCTATCGTACACAAACATAACAATTTATATTACGTTAAAAAGGTTTATCTCTAAGAAAAATCAACTTAGATGAACCACGTTTAAGCGCACTAAGCGACATCTATTGTAAAAAAAATGCATTTTCTTCGCAATAAAGCTGCCACCTGGACGTCCTAGATAGAGACTTATGTTTCGTCCAATATATTGAAAGTCAACGACCTTTCCAATTTTATTGTTTTCGTCAGATCCCCGATCAGGCCACGTGTCCTGAAGCGAGTTTAACATTTTTTACCCATACAAAAAAAAGTGTACAACGCCGCTAAAGAAGTTTTCCCTTCAAAAATGGTTTTAAATTGGTAAAAAAGCTCGCGTCAGGACACGCGCGTCACGTGACCTTATCGAAAAATCGTAAGACGTAAACAATAAAATTGGAAAGGTATTTGACTTTCAATATATAATAATAAGTCTCTATCTAGGACGTCCAGGTGGCAGCTTTATTACGAAGAAAATGCATTTTTTTTACAATAGATGTCGCTAGGTACCAAACTGTTTCTTTTTGTATAAAACTGGGTGGGTGGTGTGGCCTCACATATCACTGTAAAACCAAAAATGTAAAACTCAATAAATGGTTGTATCTATCCCAAATAAATAAAAAAAAACGTAGTTACCAAACCTCCTTTTAATCTGATACGAGTCCCAATTCGCTCTCAGGAATAACGACAATCCGGGCGATGGGCGCGAGTAACCGGTGGTCAGACATCGGCGACGAGTACGTGGAGACGTGGCAAAAGACGGCGCTGTGTTCCGCCGCAGCGAGCCAGTGGCTGGCGCTGCGGCTGCAGGCGAGCTCGGGCAGCGTGGTGGCTGCCGCCGCGCTGCTCGCCGTGCTACAACGCGCCGTGCACGCCGCCGACCCAGGTGACGTATCACTCGCGCGGTGCAGGACACACGCGCCGAACCAGTGGCTGGCTCTGCGGCTGCAGGCGAGCTCGGGCAGCGTGGTGGCTGCCGCCGCGCTGCTCGCCGTGCTTACGACGCGCCGTGCACGCCGCCGACCCAGGTAACGTATCACTCGCGCGGTGCAGGACACACGCGGCGAGCCAGTGGCTGGCTCTGCGGCTGCAGGCGAGCTCGGGCAGCGTGGTGGCTGCCGCCGCGCTGCTCGCCGTGCTTACAACGCGCCGTGTACGCCGCCGACCTAGGTGACGTATCACTCGCGCGAGCCAGTGGCTGGCTCTGCGGCTACAGGCGAGCTCGGGCAGCGTGTGGCTGCCGCCGCGCTGCTCGCCGTGCTACAACGCGCCGTGCACGCCGCCGACCCAGGTGACGTATCACTCTCGCGGTGCAGGACACACGCGGCGAGCCAGTGGCTGGCTCTGCGGCTGCAGGCGAGCTCGGGCAGCGTGGTGGCTGCCGCCGCGCTGCTCGCCGTGCTTACAACGCGCCGTGCACGCCGCCGACCCAGGTAACGTATCACTCGCGCGGTGCAGGACACACGCGGCGAGCCAGTGGCTGGCTCTGCGGCTGCAGGCGAGCTCGGGCAGCGTGGTGGCTGCCGCCGCGCTGCTCGCCGTGCTACAACGCGCCGTGCACGCCGGCGAGCCAGGTGACGTATCACTCGCGCGGTGCAGGACACACGCGGCGAGCCAGTGGCTGGCTCTGCGGCTGCAGGCGAGCTCGGGCAGCGTGGTGGCTGCCGCCGCGCTGCTCGCCGCACTACAACGCGTCGTGCACGCCGCCGACCCAGGTGACGTATCACTCGCGCGGTGCAGAGCACACGCGGCGAGCCAGTGGCTGATGACGTATCAAGCTATCCACTATCCCTCATAAACTAATATATCCAAATCTCTATCTATTGTCGACCATATCGGCCACGCATTCACCATGCGGTTTTCATCATCGATTAAATATTTTTTCATGGTATAATATATGCTTAAAACGTGACCTAGAACAAAACTATAGTCTACACCAAAGCGAAGCTGGGGCGGGTCACTAGTATTTATAACCTATAAGAAACTAGTCAATACTCGTTAGAGAATTATCGTCACGAAAAAGCAATAATACAAATTTTATCCTGGTCTATCTTTTTAACTTATTTTATTTTTGTCCACAGGTCTGGTTGGCCTTGCCATATCATATGCGTTGTCGATGACCTCTATGCTTAGTAGCGTTCTCAATTCGTTTACTGAGACTGAAAGAGAGATGATTGCTGTTGAAAGAGTTGGAGAATATATCAAACAGGTCAGGCTGGAAGATCACAATGAATAAATTTAAGTTTTGCACTTCAATGATGATAATTCAATTCCAAATAATATTTTAGGTTGAATGCGAAACTATAGGTGGTGATGCTCCTCCATACGGGTGGCCTTTGCAAGGTGTCATTGAGTTCGAACATGTCACCCTTAAATATAGGTAAGATTAGAAAAATGTAAACCATACAGTGTCACAACATTTATTGCATTTAAACGGACCTTCACCTGAACTATGATCGATAAAAAATAAGAGTTAGGCTCTACCCATACCGGGAATAACTCAATAGTGGGAAAATTGAGATGAATGTGCTACAGGCGAACAACATGACGCATCGCGTCGCTTCGCGCCATTGTAAGTTGAGCCTAAGTGAGCCGCTTGCTTTCCAACACAAATAATAAAACCCTATTCATGGATACTATGTTATTTTCAAAAATCTTGCGTCCGCTGGCGTATACCAGTTGGTCCTAGTGACCTAACCAACCTTCGTCTTTTCCACGAAGACTTAAGAATTAACTGAAAAATATTTCCAGCGATCGTCGGAACGGCACTTTAGCGTTGAATGACGTCACTTTCTCGACGTGGCCGGGCGAGAAGTTGGGGGTTGTGGGAAGAACAGGTGCTGGCAAGAGCTCTCTTCTGAGCGCGCTACTGCGGCTTACTGACGTGGACAGCGGTCGCATACTGGTCGACGGCGTAGACGTGCGGTCACTGAGCCTCCAAGCACTCAGGTATACTCTCTTTTCTTGAATTGCCTTTAATTTAGTTTAATATAATGGCGCCATTAGTTTCCATAGTACAAGCACTGCTTAGTTTGGGACTGAATAGTTGTCGTGATTCATATTTGTCTAGAATGTATTGTTGTCATTGTAAAATAAAACAGAGGCTTCATAACACGACCGGCCAGTTCGAGCGCCTAGCGAAGAATGTCCCTACTACTGGAATAATGCAATCCAAATTTGACAACTGACTTTTAATTGACAAACCACAAAAAATACTCTTTATAATGATTAATCTTACAATTGTAGGTCGCGTATAGGAGTGATACCGCAAGAACCGTTCATATTCTGTGGCAGCGTGCGCGAAAATGTGGACCCGCTGGAGATGCACGCGGGCGAAGAGTTGTGGCGCGCGTTGGAGGCATGCGGCGCGCACGCGCTTGTGCATGCGCACGGGGGGCTCGCTGCGCCCGCGCACCACTTGTCCCGCGGACACGCGCAGCTGCTATGCCTCGCGCGCGCCCTGCTGCACCGCCCCAAGGTAGTGACCTGCCCGCCTCCATAACACATGGGCGCGGGGCTCGTTGCGCCCGCGCACAACCCGTCCCGCGGACACGCGCTGCTGCTATGCCTCGCGCGCGCCCTGCTGCACCGCCCCAAGGTACTGACACTTGCCCAACTTCATGACACACACGCGCGCGCGGGGGCTCGCTGCGCCCGCGCACCACTTGTCCCGCGGACACGCGTAGCTGCTATGCCTCGCGCGCGCCCTGCTGCATCGCCCCAAGGTAGTGACACCTGCCCGCCTCCATAACACATGGGCGCGGGGGCTCGTTGCGCCCGCGCACAACCCGTCTCGCATACACGCGCTGCTGCTATGCCTCGCGCGCGCCCTGCTGCACCACCCCAAGGTACTGACACTTGCCCAACTTCATAACACGCGTGCGGGGGCTCGCTGCGCCCGCGCACCACTTGTCCCGCGGACACGCGCTGCTGCTATGCCTCGCGCGCGCCCTCCTGCACCGCCCCAAGCTACTGACACTTGCCCAACTTCATAACACGCGCGCGCGGGGGCTCGCTGCGCCTGCGCACCACCTGCCCCGCGGACACGCGCAGCTGCTATGCCTCGCGTACGCCCTGCTGCACCGTCCCAAGGCACTGACACCTGCCCGACTCCATAACACATCGGCGCGCGGGCTCGTTGCGCCCGCGCACCACCTGTCCCGCGGACACGCGCTGCTGCTATGCCTCGCGCGCGCCCTGCTGCACCGCCCCAAGGTACTGACACTTGCCCAACTTCCCAAGACAAGGATCTCCGCGGTGGTAAATCTAACATTCCTGGTGAAATGCATCTCAACACGGCTTCAGCTTCTACCGGTAACGAAATATGTGATCTTTTCGCAACACACTTCTCCTCGGTCTATACCCAGAAACTAGATTCCATACCCAGTGATTTAGTTAATGATGGTGACTATCCCCAGCTATCTCTCGGTAATGTTGCTATATCCGAACACATGATCACTAAGATCTTATCCAAAATTGACGAGAGTAAAGGAGCAGTCCTGACGGCATTCCGCCACTATTTCTTAAAAGAACCGCTAAATACATTGTCCTGCCACTTAAAATCATATTAGCTAAATCCATTGCTACGGGTGTTTTTCCGGATTTGCTTAAGGAGGCTAATATCATTCCAGTCTTCAAAAAAGGTGATAATAATAACGTTAAAAACTACCGCCCAATATCTATTCAGAATGCAAAATCAAAGTTATTTGAAAAAATTATCTGCCCGTTTTTAACTTCCCATTTTAAAAACATCATTCATGCAAACCAGCACGGATTCTGTAAAAATAAATCAACAGCAACCAATCTTGTTTCGTATGTCAATGAACTAACGAAATCAATCGACTCTGGCGTAGAAATAGATTCCATTTATACAGATTTTAGCAGTGCGTTTGACAAGGTTGACCACAATATACTGTTTATGAAACTGAAGCGTTACGGAATTCATGGACCCCTACTGCTATGGCTCCGTTCTTACTTAGAGCATCGGTTATTAAGGGTAGTTGTGAACGGCTACAAATCGAAACCATTCCTCACCTCGTCGGGAGTCCCTCAGGGTTCGATCTTAGGACCAATTCTGTTTCTCGTTTTCATTAACGATATCCCTAATAAAATCCGGTATAGCAGCTGCTCTCTTTTTGCCGACGATTTAAAGTTGTATCGACCGATTAAAAACGAGGAAGATATACTTTTACTCCAAAAAGATCTAGACTCGGTATCGGAATGGTGCGTAGACAACGGTATGACTCTTAACGCAAGTAAATGTCTATTTATAAAATTTACCAGAAAGACAAAAAACATGAACGCTTCTATCTATACTATCAATTCTGCACAGAAGTGGGTTCGACTCGTGATCTGGGCATTGTAATTGACAAAAAGCTCGGATTCATTGAACATATTAACGCTATTGTTGCAAAGGCATTAAAAATGTTGGGTTTCTTGAAACGCTTATGTAAGAATTTCCATAACACCGCAACAATTTTATGCTTGTATAAGAGTTTGGTGCAAAGTATACTAGAATGCAGTTCCCAAGTCTGGAATCCGCAATATCGAGTCCACATTGATAGTGGTTGCGCGGGTGATGCTAAATATTTGTTTTTTATAATGGACTGTAAATTTAAAATTGGCACAATAATCAAAGAAAGGAGATTTCGAACTGCGTGGATTAAAAACAAAAGGAAATAGTTCGAAACCAATAAGGAAGGTTGCACAATACCTTGAAGCTTGAATCAACGGCCAGTCCAGAAGCTCCCGAGGTGGACGCGTCGAGCCGGCTATCCAAAACCGAACTTGGGTTCGTGGCCGGTTGATATTCTTATGGGTAACACCAAATGGGTAGTCTTGCACTTCTATTTTTACAATGAGAATCACTCGAACTATAGTTTTTGTTTATCAAACGAATTAATTACGAAGAGCGCGATTTACGGCAGCCATTAACAAAAGGTGCGGATTTGCTAAAAAGTATGTTAACTACAACACCCGCTAGATGTCCCCAGTGGACATTCGTCGTCTCACTCTGGCATGCGAGATAGGTATGTGCAGGAGGGAGATGGGAAAAGGAAATGAGTAAAGTGCCAATTTAACTATTAAATTTAAAATAAGGCGATGGGCGATTATACGAATTTTACGCGGTCAATTCAAAATGCCATACTGGCGCAACCATTCCCCCCGGCTTGAAGGGTTACCTTCAAAATAAACTAAATATCTAAAATGAGAAGCTAAATTTATTAAAAACTAACCTACTGAATCTACGATCACTATTATTATTATTTTACTAATGTTGATTAGGCAAAGGGCAAAGTCGTACAACTGGACGTAAATACGACCCAGTCGCAGTTCTAACACGTACTATTCGAGTCACCCCATTAGACCCTGGAAAAGTTTCTTCCACTACCCCTAAGGGCCAATGCAAAGGTGGCGTGTTCTCAGTTAAAAGAATAACAACAGTACCGACAGTAATCGGGTTTGACGGAATATTCCATTTTTGCCGGGACTGTAGGGTATGCAAATAGTCTGTTCTCCAGCGCTTCCAAAACGACTGAACTAATCTATCTAATAAGGCATGGCGCGACAGAAGATGAAGCCGATCTTCATCCACTTCTAAAGCGGGGAAATATTTTAAAGGTGTCATATTCAAAAAATGCGCTGGAGTTAATGCAAGAGGCTCCGAAGGATCGCTAGACAATGTCCTACAAAGAGGTCTGGTATTCATTACCGCCTCGACTTGAGTGAGCACGGTGCTAAGCTCCTCAAAGGAAAGAATTTGACTGCCTATGACGCGGAACAAATGTGATTTTAAGCTTTTAATATTAGCTTCCCAATTACCACCAAAATGGCTTGCAGCTGGCGTGTTTAATGACCATTCAATACGATTCTCTGCTAAAATGTGTGCAAATTCGGTATTAAAGTGTTTGGAATTTAAAAGAGTATGCAACTCTGAAATATTACGACGGGCTCCAACATAGTTTGTACCGTTGTCTGAGTACATTCGAGCTACAGGACCACGGCGCGATAAAAATCGCTTGAATGCAGCCATAAAACATGGAGTGCTTAAATCACTGGCTAATTCTATATGTACTGCACGAGTCGTCATACAGACAAATAGACAAATATAAGATTTTGTGGAGCGTATGCCACGACCACGAGAAATGGTCACTCTGAAAGGGCCCGCGTAGTCCGTACCGGTATGTACGAAAGGCTTAGCGGTTTGAACAACACGACAAGAACGATGGTCGGCCATTTCGGGTGCAATCGACTTTGGACGAAGTTTGAAACAAGGAATACATCTATGAACTATGGAGCGGATCAAATTGCGTGCAGAAATAATCCAGTATTTCTGTCGTAAGATCGACATAAGCAAATCAGGACCAGCGTGACAATTTACTTTATGGTAATATTCAACTATAAGATTAACGACGTGATCTTTGCGCGGGAGAACTATAGGGTGTTTTTGATCGTGACTTAATTCAGATTGGTTTAGTCTACCACCAATACGAATAAGTCCATCTTTGTCCAAAAATGGTTTCAAATGTTGAAACGAAGGACTACAAGGTTTATCCAATTCTAAACTTTTAAATTCAGATGTAAAGTAATACTGTTGAACTTCACGAAGTACTACCAGTTCTGCTTTGTTCAAATCGCTAGAACTAACGTACTCTTGCAGAGGAAGAATTTTTACAAAACGACAAACAAAAACGACGCTGCGCAAAAGTAATGACCAAGATGAGACCCGGCTTGCTAACAATAAAATAGGTGTCTTTTCTTTCGGTGCGGTTGTTAATAAAACGTGTTTCTTTTCCTCTGGAGGAGTAGAAACCGTCACTGGGTCAAAGGAACTAACTGGCCATTCATGAATTGGTGCACGACACCACGAAGAGCCATGGAACCAGAGTGGATGGTCCAAAATTTGTGCGGGCGTCAACCCACGGGACAGACAGTCTGCGGGGTTGTCAGCGCCCGACACGTGGTAAAAATTCTGCGGTGGCAACTCCAACTGAATTTTTGACACTCTATTTGCTACAAATGTGTCCCAACGATGGGGAGAAGAATGAGTCCAACATAAAGCAACAGTTGAGTCTGAAAATGCGAAAATTTTATCTATATTTATGCGGTTACGACAACAATTGACGATTGAACTAATGAGCTGGGCTAACACTAATATAGCGCATAGCTCAAGACGCGCAAGAGAAATTACTTTCTGAGGAGCTACCCTCGATTTAGCACTAATGAGGTGCACCTGGATGTTAGTACCATTTTGTACATGGAAGTACACAACACCCCCATAAGCTTTCTCACTAGCATCTGCGAATCCAACAACTGTCACAATACTAGTTTTGGTAATTCCAACATGACGTGATATTTTTATTTGCTCGAGCATATGAAGCTCGGCTCTAAAGCTATTCCACAATCTAACGACATTATCAGGAGGTGTATCATCCCAATCACAGTGAGACAACCAAAGATCCTTGATAAGGAGCTTCG